ATTTCTGTAAATACTGTTAAAGTTATAATTTTTGTAAATAGTGCAAAACAATAAAAATATAACAATCTAATCTAATGCTGTCAAATATGTTCAAGGTTTATTCAGTACTGTGCAAATTTATTGCTGACAGCAATGTACTTAGCATACCTAATTTCTTGGAAATAACATCCACAACCATGTCAGAATCTCTCAGTTGACAGGGTGTTGTAGAGGGAATATTTTCAACACAAAAATGAGTGAAATTAATAAATGACAATTACATCCGATGATGACAAAATGTTATTAATTTCGCTAAAACTTCAGTTATATTTCAGTCACCACAATGTTTCATAAGCAACGTTTAGGTTACTTTGTTTTTAACAAAATAAATTAAGCATCCCTAAATGTATTGTGCAGTCAAAAGAAAAACTAAATTGAAGTCTACACTATTTTATTCATCTGTATGACTGAGGTGGTTAAGGTCACCTGACCACAGTTGGCCAAAGGGTGGTGGTGGCTCCACTAAATAAATCACTATCCAGTTGTTACATGTAAGTGTTACCAAAACAAACTGCACTATCTATGGAATCACCTTCACCTATCGTGTTCATGCCAAGCAGCACATAAGACCCCTGAATATCTACTGAGTACTAGTGATTTATCTGGAGAAAGGTGTTCACCATTTTGTTTTTAAATAATTGAGGCCTGTACTTCAAAATGTTGAAACTATGAGTTGCTTTCATACCATGCTGTCTCTGTGCAAGGTCCAGTATGGGTATAACAGCCGCTGCCTTGTGTCCGGCAGGGTAGTTCTCCATGATTACTTTAGCTCTCTAAAAGAAACAACATGTGTCCACAAGAAAGTTGAGTCAGTGAAATCAGAAAAAAAACTTCCTGAGTTCTTACACTATGACCTTCTGTTGACCAGTCAGACAGTTCAAACATTATTACAAAAATGGTTGGGAAGATAAATTAAGAACTCTGTTCAAGTTTGGACAACTACTGGGATTCGTTTCCCAACATAAAATACAAAATACCAGTTCAGAGAGCGTAAAGAGGGAAAAATGCAAAAATAATGTAACTGGCCCACAGTCGGCTGTTTATCAACATTAGAAACTCATTGAGTAGAAAAATTGACAAACTGAGAGTTTAGCACGAAGCTAAATTGGAATTTCCAGAGGAATTCAAACTAAAAAATACCATCCATGACAAGGATATTTAAGGACTTTGTTTCATCTGTCCTCATTGCACCATGGGACGTATAAGGACTTGGTTTACTTACCTCTAAGTTTTTCTGATTAAGTTCAAATGGAGTATCAGCATTATTCTCTGGAGTGTCCCGATGCTGTAAAAAAAAAACACAAAAAACACAGTATTAGTTAACAGAGAGTACATGCTCATGTACATGCATATGAGATAGGGCCATGATCCTGTTGGATTGCAAAAAGTCTTAGGAGCATCAAATTACAAAGACAGAGGTTATTCATTTTGTGCACTAAAATGACATCAGTGACAAATTTTATCTAAATTAAGAATTTATAAGTGTTATTGGTTACATACATGTGCGTAATAATAACAGTAGATAGACCATTCAGTTTTTGAGCACTTATGGATTTTAAAACAAATCTGTTTCGTAAACCAGCACAAGGTAGGCCCATTCATCAGTTTATCTCCATATACACTGAAGCATCAGTTAGTCTATGTTAACAATATGGTCTGTGAGAAAACTATGAGTAGTCCATCTACTGTAATAGTTTGCTCCTTTACTGTAGAGCACTAACTTGGTTCAACGGCGAAAATCACCTGGACCATTACTGTGTGCGTAAATATACATATTCTGTGCAAAATATTTCTTACATTGTTTCTTTAATTACTCTCAGTTTGTAACTGAATATTATAAGGGTAAGGGGAATGAGGGATACTAGTACACATTTCTCTACTAGTACATGGGTAAACCAAGATTTCTTTTGATTCAAACTCCCCCTTCAATTGAACAAAGAATACAAAATCTGGCTTGGGGTTGTTATGTAACTTACTGTAAAAATATCGTAACTTACAATCAACTATCAAAAATAGTAGCCAGTGTGAGCTACATACAGTGAGTAGCACTTTTCTTTTCTAGGATTCGGGTGGAAGCTAAATTCTCTTTGATTTTTAGCGTGCAAACTTACCACAAAGAGCTTATCTGAAAGGAGTGGAACTGCAGCACGATGAAAACATCTTGAGCCAACACTTGAGCCTGCTTGTTGGCTTGCCTGCAATTTCATGTTATGTCATAAGTTTGCCGCTTTCATTTTTTAAAAGTTGATAAAAGAAAATTAGAATAGTTATCGTACGATATGTTTATGTCCTTACCTTGCCAACATCACGAAGAAGTGAGAAGGATTTTGACAAAGTCCTCCAACTCGACAACATGGCGTCCAAAAAAAAATTGACTGACTTTGGTCAGAGGTAATCAATCGAGACAATAACTTCGTCAAATAAGGTATGATGAAATGTCCTTTGAGAGGAACGTCCCGTCTCTTGGACGCCTTTTATTAATTTTATTATTTTAGACTTATTATATTTTCCAATACAGAATTCCTTTCCTATTTCCTTACGATTTTGTAGAGATAACTCTATAATTCACTTAGTTGGCTGAAAATTTCTCTGGCCGATTGTAATTGAACTTCTAGACCCAAAAACGTTCAAAGTTGTGGGCTGTTTGAAGGATTTTATAGTATGCTCAAGAACATGAGAGGTGTTCGGAAAAGGTTGCGTGTCGATGAAAACAGTAACTCGTGTGACTACATACATGTTCTTTTTGATAAGGCAGGTACCCGAGGGCTGGTGTGGACCTGCGCAAAATTCCTATCAAAACGCTAAAAATAAGATTATTTAAAATTAACATTCATAAAACAATTAAATCAGGGATTAAAATAGGGATACCCTATAACTATTAACTATTACTAACGATTTCCTCCGCCGTGATCTTCCCCAAGGAACGCGGGCACACTGGTAAACGAGCCTACACGCCCTCCCGCTGAACTAACAACATACGTCGGTTTCATTCCCACACTAGGGGCAAAATGCGTGACACGCTTAACAAAGGTCTGCGTACTTAGCACCCAAGAACCAAAGAGGCGGTCATCCGAACTGAGCTGAAACGAAACCTTATTAATATGTTAGATAACGTTGCTTTCGTTTGAGAAAAAAGCTTGCTGTAGTTCAATTGCCGGGGAGGGGACACGGGAAATATTGGGATATGGTGGATTGGGGTTAAACTCAGATGAATTATATCCTTGTCAAGTTAGGCCACACTTGAAAATGCTGTTGGTTGCTTAAGTTGTTGGTAGGTACTGCTGGTAATCTAATGGAACAGAGAGACAGAGGAAACAACAACAACAACAACAACTGTACCCTAGTTTTTTTTTTTTCTTTCTTTTTCTTTTTTTGTGTTCTCTGAAACGCTTCATATGTCCTTTATGGAGCATCAACATAGCTATGTGTTGACCATTTCTTTTGAATACGGATGTCCTTCTCTCTAGATTCATGGAAAACTTAATAAAGCAAATTCAGCAAACAAGCAATGAAAAGTAATATTTTTATTTCATTCGATTAACGATATTGCGCCCTGCGCCCGTTTCAGACGTGGAGCTTACCATGAACAGAGCAGTGAATTAGTACAAGCAATTTAGCTTTTTAAGGACGAATGCGTTCCAATCGGTACATGAGAACGTTTGCGTCTAAAATGGGCATTAGGGGCTACATAGGGCTAAAACTTAGAGCCGTTATTTCAAGTTCAAATATTAGTTAGTGCTCAAGCGCAGTTAGCAATTACAGCAGTCCGCTGAGCATTTATTCTCTGCATACAACACACAGCAACATTTTCTTCAGAAACCGAGCCCAGAATCCTTTGCCGGCAGGTCGGGTGCAATGCTCTGAAGAAGCTTGGAAGAGGACGCTTTTCCAAATAAGGTCACTAAAAGTGCGACTCCGTAGCCTGTAGCTCTTTCTCCCTAAAACAAAAACCAGACATCCATTTAATGACCCCATGACTGAAAACAGTTTGCAGCAGGCCTTGAAGACAGCCTACAGCATTCAATTAACGTATTTCCACTGAAATTGCAGTCATCTTACCATGTGAACTGGAGCGGCCATGTCAACATGTAACCATGTTCCAGGGTAGTCAAATCCTAAATGGGAACCTAAGTGCAATAACAAAAAAAAATTTACATGACAAAAATGCCAATCAGTAAGAACAGTCAGGAAGCTGTGCAATGCTCTGTTAGCGCTAGCTCGTAAGCAAAATTCTCATGGAACCCGAGACCAAGGACAGATAGAAAAACATTCAAGCCTCAGAGACGGCAGAATAAAAAACTCTACAAACCAACTCTCGAACCCTCTTAATAAATTAGTCGATGTTGTCACCAGGGCGCTAGCTTTAAACAGAAGGGAGTGGTTCACACTACACTATAAACATGGATTTATGTACATGAAGTAAGAATGTCTTTACAGACGGTGTAAAGATAGCAAACCGTCATGTAATTATACTTACCAATAAAAAGACCAGCACAGGATACTTGGGCATTATCGCGATTCTATAATAAAAGCAAAAAATTATGTTAGGTTCACTGTTGGATTGCAAGCTGGAAAAATAGCCTTTTGTGTTCTTCTGCCGTATTTCAAAGATATGTAGCATCATGGAACTGCTAGCCTGCTTTGTAAGGTGACGCTCTTTGCGCTTGTTGTGCAATCTTTTCACACTCGTGAGAGGGGCGGGGGATGGCGAGCCCAAAAGTCGTTCGCAAAGGAGATTAGGGGCTGCGCGAATTTCACTAGATTACGGAGAGGGACTCGACGATAGCATCGCGTTTTTTTATCACAATGAAACAACCAACGCCAACAGAGGATACGGTTCCACGTTACTCTAGGTGAGTAAAACCAGTAAAAGATTATCCCACAAACCTGCACTGAATTCTTCATATCTGCTAATGCGCTTGAAAATTCACAGAAATGAAGCTCTGGAGAGTATGGCACGGGAAACTGTTATGACAGAAATGAAGCACACCTCAGTTATAGCATGTATGGTCTACTACGCACAAGAAATTGAAACATTATAAAACTACTCGCCGGATTTTCATGTCAACACCACTCGGTTACGATTTGATCACGCGTCTGTGTTACCGGCCTTTAAAGTGAGTGGGAAGTTTGGAAAATCAACAGAAACGCCAAGAAGTTGTCCAATGGCAATTGCAAAACATACTCACCACCAGGTCTCCACTTGCTTTTCCTGCCGTCATACAAGCTGGCTCCCATACCTCTTTGTTGGTTAAAACTGCTCCGTGGTATCTTCCTGTTGCGACTCCCTGGGCGCCAGTCAAGGTAGCCATGTCTAAAATGACGTCGGCCTGGAGGTCTTTCTTTGCATATGCGACCTTGAGATTAACAGGGATAAACAAAATATGATCAAAAAAAGAACTGGAACTCCCATTTTTGACTCGTGAATTCGCATGTGCAAAGAACGAGTTATCGTGATTGACGGAAAATGAGGGCGCTTGTTCGCTCGTTTAAAACAGTTCGTAAGTCGGTGTGTTGTCTTAACGACTTTACCGACTCGACCTATGTAAATGTAGATAGGGGCTTTCGATAAATCCAAAAATAAACGGCAGGAAATGGACAGATATGTAGTGTAAGTATGTGTCAGGGCAATCTAGGATTGCTTTGGTTTTGAGGCTCTGTGATTGGTTTAGAAAACGTGCACAAAAGCTAGTCTAATCACGAATATAACACATGCGATTTCTCGCGCTTAGCACCAGTTATGTACATTTCTGTCAACTTCTTATTTGGTTTTGTCTTACGTTCATTCCAGATTGCAATTGGCTTTTAGAGCAGTTCTCAGTACTGAGTATCCTAAAACCAAGACCATAGTACTCACTCTAGCCAGTCACAAAGGACATGGGCAATCAAGTGAACCACACAAAACCAGTCAACAGCAAATACATTAAGAGGGTGCAAAGTGCGGGAAACCGTACATGGCGAGTCAAGACTGTATTTGGTTTTCCAATTGGACAAGAAAGCGGCGCGAAGTTTTTCAACCAATCACTAAGCGTAGTAATGCGAAATCAGAGCAAATGTGACTTACTCTTGACACTCGAAAGAAACGCGTGCTATAGCATACGGCTTCGTAATGTTCTGCTCATACATGATAAAAGCAGCAACAGGTGTCAACGAACCGATACCTGCTGGCTAACCTCCAGTGAAACTGTTAACGGAGCTACGTCATGGTTTGGGCATCTTGAAAAGTTTAGCCTAAATTTTTCAAGTTCGTCGTTTGTAATCCGTGTCAATCTTCTCCATCCTTAGCCATCGTATGTTGTTCTTTTATGATTCATTATTATCTCGTTGGTGTTTGTCTATCTTAGTAAACTACTCTTTTCAGGTTTCATTCAATTTAAATGTAATCTTGTACGTGGCCAAATTAACTCAAATTATCGTGACTGAGCACCTTTAAACAACGACAAAAGATTTGAAATGATCAAGAAAATCAAAGCCGACCTTACCCCATCTCCAAGTACTAAACGTCCCTCAGCATCAGTGTTGTTTACTTCAACAGTTCTACACGAGAATAAAATGTAAAACACACATTTTTAATGGTCTTTGCGTCATGGCAGTTGATCAGAAAGAGACATATAAACAACCTGATTTACCCAAACTTTACACCATAGAAGTAAGTCCACATACAGTCTTACGGTCAATTGTCTTAATAATTGATTTTTATAGGTAGGTCAAATCGAAATCACTCTTAATCTTTCGCAGGGTTCCAAACCAGGGTGTCAACAAGGAATTCCAGTGGGTCAGTTCCCTCTGATCCTACTAAATCATTATAAATTTTCAGTTCTACTAATTTGTCAGGTCATGTAGCTGACCTTGTAGAGTTTCTGACCTGAAACCCTCCACTTATCTGGAACACCGTATTCGGAAAAAATTCTACGAAACATCTTATATATATAACTCACTTTCCTGAATACAGTGTTAATATGTCGTCAGGTCTCGTTGCATGAGGTCCTACAGCATTCTCTGCCATACAGAACACAGCATGAAGGTTCTCAGTAAAGCCCTACAGAGGAGAATAAAATGTGTGGAAATTGTTACAAATTATATTTTTATAATTATTCCTATTTTGAGTTTTGGTACTAACCTGCTTGACAGCTGCTCTGAAAGCTCCCAGAATGCCAGCGGCTCCTCCACAATCTCTTTTCATTCCGAGCATTGAAGTCTGCAAATGAACCACACTCCATAAAGGTTAAGTAATACAGGCAACATTTCTTTCATCTTGTCGCAGAACATTTTTTGCAGTGAAAGCTGAATAGTACTGTTGTGTGTATTACTGCCTGTGTTGCAAGTAATGTAGTAACAGGTTGCATGAAAGCTAGCCAGATCAACTTTAAATCGACTTGCAACATGGCTGGTAACATGCCTGATAGTGATTTTCAACTTTCATGCAGTGCAAAATTAAGCACTTAATGACTGGCCCCCATGGAAACAGTGAGTTTTGTTACCCCGAAACCCTCAATGTTCCCTGAGGCAAAGCCGAGGTGGACATTGAGGTCGAGGGGAAGCAAAACTCACTGTCTCCCGCAGGACCAGCCATTAAGTGTTTTGTTATACCTCCCAACTCAAAAATAGAAAAAAAAAAAAAAAAAAAAACTGCGAAGAAATCGTTTGCTTGACACTGGCTGGCTCACAAATTTGCTGCAGTTTCATGGAGCACGACCTGATCACGTGCGAGTCAAAAGTTCAAGTTGTTGTTTATCTAGGGAGTTAGTTAGTTTTGTTCACCCTACAGAGTTTGTGAGTTTTGACCCATGACACGTGACACATTCCCCTCCAATCGAAAACGTATTTGAGTTGGGAGGTATAACAATGTTGCATGACTAGTGCGAAGACATCTGATTTCCATTCTCTTCTGACACAGCCAGGAAATTGGATGTTTGCCCAGAAACAAACACAAATGATAGATCTCCCAGCCAAGCAGCTTATTATTTTTCACATGCCACTGGGGTTTAATTCCCTTTTCTCTTACTAAGACAACTTAAAATGGAAGCCCTGAAACATAATGATGGGATAGAATCTACCTGATAGTACTTATGTGGTACCACACATCAAGGGGTTTCAGGGTATTGAAGGGTTTCATTGAGGGCTGGGTACCATGTAAATGGGATGACTGTGAGGATGATTTTGCCTGCCTGGTTTGACAATCTAGAGGAAAGTTTTTCTTATAAAGAAGTTGCCAGTGTCAAACCATTTGCCTTCCTGCGGAAAACATTAAAGAAACCCCTGTTTGGAACTTTGTTGTTAATTAGATTTTATTTGAGGTTTTTTCAAGTTCTGAACAGTTGGATCACCCAACATGTACCTTAGCCTTTATACACAATCCTCCGGTATCATACACTATGCCTTTTCCAACCCAAGCTATGGTGCGTGTGGCTGACATTGGTGTATGACTCAACACTACTAAGGCTGGAGGATTCACAGCGGCTTTCCCAACTCCATAGAGTCCTGAAGAGATGTGAAAACAAAATGAACAAACCATTATTCTGCCATTTCAAGTTTATGATTCCAAGTTTTGTTTAGTTCATGATTCTATGTTCATGGGGCACTCAAGGATCTAACATAAGATCTATTTATTAACTCTCAATTTACTATGGTCTCCAGAAGTAACCTAAAACATTTTTTTGATAGTTCATCTGAGAGCTAAAGAGACCCAGTGGTCAGAGCACTGGACCCTGCACAAAGTAGTCCAGACTCACTCTTGGGTGGGGCCCTTGTGATGTGCTGGGAAAACCATGGACTATGCTAAGGGGGAGGGACAGGGGGGTAAATTTCCCTTCTCTCTACAAGTACGTTGCGAGCAATTTTTACCTCCTCCCTACTTTAAATATTCCATAAAATTATTTCTCCATCTAGGTCTATCCAGTTCTCCCTACTCCCAGCATTTCCTTTCCCACCCCCCCTACTTTTTTTTGGGCCATTTCTCCCTCCTCTCTATTCTGCTCCTCCCCCTTCTATGTCCAATGCCTCTGTTTACTGAATTAAATCCTGAATCTGTGGGTAAATGGGTTATAAGCATGACTATATGATTGTGATCTTGTGAACATTGTGCTGCATTTCTTACAGTGCCTCAAATTCTCTGCCCAGGATTATAAATAAGCACTCTGTTTTGCTGCTTTTAGCCAGTTTGCACAAAGGTCCGGAGAGGGGAGGTGTAACTTTTCATTGACAAGCAAGTCATCTGTTATTAGTGTAATGTATCTATTTAGGATAAATACTGATAGTCACTTATAACATGCTTTGAGGCTGCTAGAATGCAGAAATCAGCATACATGTGTAAACTATGCAATATTATTAGTATGAGGAAGTTCAAAACTGTATAGGTTTGCGTTAAGTTTACACTGAGAAAGAACTACTTCTTCTATACCCACAAACTTACCACCAAACCCACGTTGATTTAGTTCCTCTCCTCTAATTATCACTGGGACAATTCCAAGCTCATCACCAACTTTAGTTATTTCCTGACAAAAATAGATAAACATTATAAACTAATAAATAAATAGTATTTATGGTTGACATAACATTTGTTCTATTAATTTGCCCGTGGAAGAGTGGTGAAACTTTACTGACATTAAAGTTTTAAAAACATGATAGCTATAACTACTGAATCAAAATGTGAAATAAATAATTATCAAAATAAATTAATAATTAAAACTATTAACATTAATTATTAGTCAGCATTTATTTTTTGTTGGTTGGCTAGTACTACTTTGCCTCACCTATCATTATATATCTCAATATATAATATATACAATGTAATATATAATATTTAGAAAACAGTCCTAAGAAAACACACATGCTGATTGGTTAAAATTCGTGTTTCTATAACTTGATGGAAACACAGAACTAGCATGAGCTGTTGACGTAATGATTGCTCGAGCAAAGAGAATTTACACTTTGATAATCAAAGTTAACAAGTTGTTTTCCTTTTTTTCCTCACAGTGTTTTCTAAAAGAAATAGAAAACATGCTCTCCGTGTTTCTATCGAGTTATAGAAATACTCGTGAAAGTTTGGGAGAATTTGAAAAAGCTGTGGAAACACTCGCCTGTGCCTCATGTTCCCACAGCAATTTTCTCATTCTCCCAAACTTCCACTCGTGTTAATTCTATAACTGGATAGAAACACGGTACATGTTTTCTATTTCTTAAATAATATATAATATATAATACATAATACAAAATACATAATACATAATTATACATAATATATAATATACATAATATATAATAAATCCCAACCATATTTTTTGTATTCACCTGAACAAAGGCACTCGTGTGCATATCTTGGCATGGCATATCTACCAATCGGGCACTGAGACGGATGCTTTCTGCAACTGCACTCATACATTCCACATCTTCACTTGTAATTGGTGAGTCATTTTTTCCAACAAGAACAAACTCAATCGTTACTGTTTTGGGCATCAGTTTAGCCTTCGAAGACTTTCTAGAAAAAGTTGGGAAAGCCCTAGCAATGGCACATGCTGAGGCAAAAGCATCACTCCTTTCACAGACAACCTACAAAGATAAGACCATTAGGTAAAGAACAATAAAATCATTGTGTTAATTAAAAGTCATTTGAACAGTGCCATTTAATTAAGAAACGATTAATAATGCCATTAAACTGTTAGGCTCAATACAGTAGTTAAGTTTGAACATAGGGGCTGCTTACATGATACTGGAATGACTTTGATTCTGGAACAAGTTCATTCCATCCCTATATAGTTCTCTGTATCTCTTTACATGGTTCCAAGTTGAAATTTCATTTCCTTACAAGTCATTCTGGTTTTTTTCAATCCAAATAAAATTCTCATTCTGGTATGAAATTTCAATCTGTCATCATGTAAAGTGAAAATGAACTTCGTTCTGAAATGAAAATTGCAAACCGTGTAGTATGGGGTGGTGCATGTGTATTGTTTTTAAGATGGTGGAGAGAGAAGGTCAGGAAGTTATTTTTAACTGAAAGGGATTGTGCCATGTGAATGCAGTGCAAGCTTCATTCTGGAACGAAACTCATTCTAGAATGACAGTCACTCCAGAATCATGTGAAGCCAAGGCTGGTCAACCTCCATTAACCTATTGTACAAAATTTCAGGTTTCATGGTACATGTAGGAATTCAAAAAAAAAAAGAGAAATGCAATTTTATGAATCAGGGCACAATATGGGATTAGTCACCTTGTTCATGGGCAAAAATCCTTGATATGGAATGTATAAGAAGTACACCCTACCATGACATAAAATCTAAGAAAAAAAAATATTAATCACTGCTGAGAGAATCTACTCACCACAATGCAAGCATCACCACCAGGAAGATGGCTACACACAAGCTTGTGTAGGAAATGAGGATGTGAAGGGGAGTTATGCCGACTTGCTGCAACAGGCAGGGCACCGATAATGACTTGATTCAACCACACTGGATATGCGTCAGAACCAGTCATGGTGTGAAGCACAAGATTAAATGTCTGGGAGAAATCAGACAACTTTATGATAAGTGTGCAATTATAATAAGTCAATTATTAATCTAAAAGGCATGGTGGCTTAATGGTTTGAACAGTGGATTCTGCACTGAGGCATCGACGGGACACGGCAATGAACTAGCATCCCATCTGGGGAGGAGGGCATCGGGAGAAACAGTCAGTCCTATTAGCTTCATTCCATAGAAAATAGGATAAACTCCAGTAGCATGGGCTGGCTAGCTTGAACTACACTTTACCTTATAATTGGAAAGATCGTGACCTAGGTAACTATAGCCTCTTTAACTAACTGCAAGAGATATATGGCTCTGCTTGGAGATACTCAGAAGATTACAGTATGGCTCACTCAAAGGACCTGCCCAAAAATTGGTTTTCCTTTGCACCCTGCTGGTACTTGTAGTGCGTGAAAAGCGATGAGGGAAAAAATGATGTCTGTGAAGCATTCAAAGTAACTGACAGACAATTTATGTCATAAGTGAATTTATGAATAAATCTACATTGTTGCAAGTAAACATGACACAAGACAGTGGCGGATCTAGGGGAGGGGCCCGGGGGGCCCGCCCCCCCTTATTTTGGGTGAAAAAAGAAGAAATGACTGAAGGAAGAAAGGCCGGCAGGGCAAGTAAAACAAAACTGCCCCCCCCCCGCCCCTCCTTAACTCAAAGCCTAGATCCGCCACCGCAAGAATTTTGTTATAATGCTTTTCACAAGGACAAAAGACGTATTTTCTGCAAGCTGTTTTGAATTAATAAAACCATATGAAGTGTTATTAAAAACTTTGACAAAAAATTAAAATGGAGCATTTTATTACTCTATTTTAAACTGATTGTGATCGAGGGTTGTGAAAAGCACGTAGACTGTACTGTTTGGAAAGGTCTGACTTCTGCAGCAGATAAAATTTAAAAGGACAATAATATCTGTAACAATAGTGCATGTAATCTTGCAAGCTTATATATCTCGGGCGATTTACAGTTGCATAATAAAAGAGAGTTGTGGGCAAATCTGAACTGATCTATAAATAAAGGTAAACTTAAGCTTATTCAAAAATTAAAATTGAAAATTGAATTGTGCTTATCAAATTATGAACTTCAGTTAATAACAATAGAAAATTACTTCGTACCTCAGAGTCGACTCTTCGCGACAGTTTTTCTGCAAAATGATCAAATGACACAGCTTGAAGGTGCCGTGGTTGTCCAATAATCAAACATCCTTGGACTTGAGGATCAAATGAAGTTTTCGTCGCGGAAAAAACAAGAGTAGTTTCCGCCATTTTGAGATCGTCCTTGATAGGGAGAAAATGCCCGCTGAGACACAATCCTCGTAACGCAGGCCCAACTCAGGTCAGCTCAGCCGCTTCAGTCACGAATCGAGAATGGGAATATTGTCACTTGTTCAATGAAGGAAATCGAAAATTTCAAGAGAAATAGTTTGGAATGGTTAAAAATGCAACATTAAAATTCAGAAATTAGTTCTTTTGTCCGACCTTCTCTAACCCGCAAAATCACGAATCCCGCGCGCAAGTTCCCGTGAGTGGTCAGCGGTATTAAAAAAGCCCGCGAAAGATCTGCGAAATCTCTGCGAAAGAAATTTATGTATATGCTACGAAGAAGCCACAGCTTTTTATCGTGTCAGATCAGATTAAACATGGACAGGTTTTTCCTGTTTCTTGTAGTCCACGATGATGATCCTGCGACTCAAGAAGGCAAGATGAATTCAACAAATTTATTAGTCATTTAACAGTTCCGGTTAATTAATAGCTTTGATGAGTCTCATTTCAGTTTGTTTGGAAGAATACTGATACTGAGGATGTTTGTTTTGATGACATGATTGTTGTGTATAGTCCTTGGAAAAAATTTCTTCACCCTCAAGTTGGAACATATGCTTTAGTTCAAGTTAAGCTTGAGCTTTCCTCTCTGTTTCTTGTACCGTAAAATCTGTGTCAATATGATCAACAACTTGGTTATTCGTTGAAAGTAGATTGAGCTTAACCGCTCTGGAAAGTGGGAGAGCAGTCTGGCAGATGGAACCTCTCTAACCCCTTGCAACAGAAAAGGGCCAGTGTTGAGAGAAGATGATTGATTGATTGATTGAAAATTTATTTGTCAAAGTCCTTTAGTCCATAAGTGGTGAGAATCTGCTGAGATGTCCTTGGGAAATATCAAGTGCCCTGCGTGTGAATTTCTTTTCATTTAATAGAAACAGAAAATCAGGAAAATTTCTCTATGTTACTGTGCACTGACACTTAGTTCCTTGCTATGTTCTAGGCTATTGCCAATGCCCTAAAGATGGGATTCCTGGTCTTCAGAGCTTGGTTAAAGATCTTGTTTCTTGTCATGATGAGAGTGAAAATTCAAGCACAGATCTTGATAATGCTCAGTCAATGTTGTTTGGTGAGTACATGTTCCTGACATTGATATTGGGCTCTTGAAGCAATTCATGACTGAAACGTGAGCATATTACAGTGGAACCCTGTTAATCTGGTCACCAACGGGAGACAAAAATCTGGCCATATTAACAGGGTGGCCATATTATAGGGGTTCTTTAAACAAGGAAATGAATGACTGAGCTTTTGTTCAGAGCAGAATAAAGTAGCTGTAACTACGAGGTGGCCATTCTACTGTTTTTCTAAATTTCACCTGAAATTCCATGGACTTCATCATGATGTCCTCTCATTGGGCCAGTGGGTGCTTACTGCATGGACTTGGTACTTATGGTTTACTTACTCACCAGGGTAAGACTTACGTAACTGGGTCAAGACATCATTTTTGAGACATGTACAAAATGGAATGGTTGGTTACTTTATTATTTTCTATAATTATAAATGCATGTAGATGAACAACATTAAATTTCATTTCAATTCTTTGTTGTTCTATTTTGTTCTGCAAAATCCTGTAATTTTAAAATGTTCAGCTAAGCTAGATTACACGTCATGACCCTGTGTTGTAAATGACATCTTTGACCTTATTTGAACTTCCTCCCTTTTTTTCTTACATGCAGATCCTCTTTTGGCTTTAAAGAACTGGACACCTACTATTCATTTCAGTCTTGTTGAGGAAAAGCAATTTTCAAATCAATTTGAGGTGATTTTAATTTGCTTAACACTATTATTGGGTGGAAAATGGCAATTAGCAAAAAATCACATGACACTTAACAAGTATGAGCCAAAAGCACTCTCATTTTATATAACTATTTGCTTAGTCATTATCACCCCCATATGCCGTGATGCCAGCATACGCTGAAGCCAGATTTCTGGTGATTCAAATATTAATTGTAAAGACGGTGCCTACTTAAAATACAAAGGTTTTTGCGCCAGGCTAGGACCATGTGGAAAAAGTAGATCTTTGCAAGGGCTATTGGAATCCACCAAGAAAAATGGGGGTAGCCACGCATTTTTTGAGACAATTAGCCTTGAATCACAAAATGCTGACATCAGCAATTTTCTGAAAAAAGAAGAAAAGGACATTTCTTCACAGATTTCCTTACAATTTTCCTTTACATATAGAGAAGCAAACAAATTTATAAAGATCTTAAAACTGCATGGTACACGGTAACATAAAAACCCTTTTTGGTATGTTTTTAATAACAAAATCGTTGCAACAGTGCCCTTAGCATCTCTGACAGCCTTCCTCTGGTTCAGCTAAAATATAGTCTAAACACCTTTTACTCACAACCAAAAACCTAATCACGTGTTGAATAGTTTTGCCACTTCCATTTCATAACATAAAATGTAGGGGTAACCACATGTTTTTCTAAGTTATTGATCTTTTTTGAGATTTATGGTGTGTGCTACAGTTTTCCTGCCACCTCCCCAGTAAGTCAAACATTTGCAAATCTCGCGCTTGTTTTGCGTGAGCACTATGCCATCGGCAGGAACATTTTTGCAGTTGGATTTCAGTATAATTTTTGCCAGATAACAGCTAGTTTTTCGGTTGAAAGATGTTAACAGTTAGTGGTTAGCGATATGCTGCTCTTCTGGTGTTTCTGGTTAAAGTACTTGTACAGGCTCATTAAACTTGATTTGGTCACAGTAGGAAAATTTTGCTCTCATTTTAGTCGTCAGTACTTAGTAGCATAGTTGATTGTGTCAATGTCAACCCCAGCGTGCGCATGGCACTTAAACCATGTCTTGTGCGATGCACAGAAGGTGTGCGCACTAATAAAAGTAGGCACTGTCCTTAAGAGAAGTTTCCCAGAGTCTACAGCAAAGGACTGGGATCATGTGTACTGACAGCACTGCAGTCAAGTATCGATCGATACCCTCGATCGACCCTCGATCGTTATGCGATCTGTTAAATACTGAGAAGCCCTCCGATGGTCTCTAAAAGTCATACATGACACGATTGACACTCCATCGACACCTTGGTTGACACTTGATCAACACTCCATTGACATCTTGGTTGACAGTCGTTTGAGAGTCGACTAATTTTTGATCGAATCATATTAGTTGGTCGATACTCGGCCGGCTATAGACCGACTGTTGATCAAGTGTTGACAGAATGTTGACCAAGTATCAATCGGGATTTTGATCAGGTATTGATCGAGATGTCGATCAAGGGTATCGATTGAGGGTATCGATCGAGACTCGACTGGGGATGCCTGTAGTACACATGATTGAAAGACTGAAGGATTTGGGACTGTGAGCATTGCTAAATATAATTTAATGCCATGTGACTTGTAATTAATGAATTCATTTTTAGTTCAATGCTGTGTACCAGGGGGTTTCCTTAAGGAAAAGGCACCAAACAAATTGACTGGCTAGGGTGCAAAGAAAACATTTTTCTTAGTCTTGCCCTTCAGGCAATCTCTATCTACAGTACTATGATGTACTATCCCATAAATCATTCTTACTACATGTATCCCCAAAAAGATCTCTACTTATACTACTGTAATAGTTTTGAATTTCTGCAATTGAAATTTTCCTAAGCAACTTCACTTGCCCATTCAGCTAGTAAAGGACAGAATCCACTATCCTGACTGGATAATCCACTAGTCCCAGGCTATCGGCCAGCACTTTCTTTCCACACTGTAACTAGGGAAGGGGCTATGGGGGCTCTGGGTTAAGGTTGAGAGGTAAGGTAAGCCAGGTAAGCCTGAATAGCTCTCTGGCCAGTCAGCCTGAATGGAGCATGTGTACTAAAGGCATCCACAGTCGAGTGTCGATTGATACACCCAATTGAACCGCAATTGACTCTCGATCTGGAACTAGTTGCAGGGCAAAAAATTCTTGTAACTGTATGTAAGAAATCAAAATCAAAATTGTGAGTTCAACAGGTAAAGTTCAAGTTTGACTGAGGTGTCAACGGAGTGTCAATCAAGGGCATCTATCGAGGGTGTCAATCAGCACTTGACCGCGGATGCCTTTAGTACACACGATCTGCCTGAATAATGCTCAGGTTACTGACCCTGCTTACAGTTAGCTCTCAACAATGATAATGATAATGGCAACACCCTAAGCTCCTACCTTTCACCCCTCACCTGTCAACCTGCCAGCTGGCTGTGAAAAAGATTTTTCCAGCCTGTAGGCCCTGTAATGGAGATTATTTCTTATGAAGAAGTTCACTTCAAAAATTGGCTTGGCTGTGAATAACAATAATATTGCCTTCCTTTTGAAAACCTTTATGAAGCCACCTGTGTTCATGTAAATGTTACCAAGCGATCTAAGTTCTTCATTTGTTACTGATAGTAAAAGTACATGTAGATGTACTATAATACTTCTGATTGAAGATGACGTCTATAGAAAAACATTTTTAAATGCTTGCATATGACATTTCATTGTCATCTTGGTGCCATTCAAGAATGAAATTTTTATTGGAAACGAGATGCTACCAAAATATATGAGTTTTAATACATGTGTGTCTTTTAAAATATTTTAATAGCGTTGTTTTTATTATTTGCTGCAAAGTACTTGCTGTGTCTTTTTTCAGTGTTTTTCAAGATGGCATACAGGAGAATATCTCAAGGAAGTATTGAGACTACTCGAAAAGCCAGTTAGTCCTAGGAATCAGAATCCTGTTGATGTAAGGTACCGGTACTGATTGATATTTCCCTATAAGTATGCACTTTTTGCTGTGCATGTTGGAGGGTACTGGTGGATGCCCCATGTTCGATTCATCTAAGTCCGTCAATACTTGGCCGACTATTGACCGACTGTTGATCAAGGGTTGATAGAGTACCAATTGGGATGGTGATCGAGTATTGATTGAGATGTTGATCAATAGTATCAATCGAGAGTATGGATCGACACTCGACTGTGGATGCCTTTAGTACACATGACCCGCGTTCATCAACTAATTACATAAACTTCTTTAACACCTCTAGTAGAGCTTTACATGTATGCCAAGCTAACCCAGCTATAGGGAGCTTGAAAAAACCACGTTGGTAACAGCAATGGCAACATCGCTAAACAAAAGATTTATGAGCAGAACAATGGCTGTGCACATGCGTTATAATTCTTAGTTCATTTCTTTGCCGTCCTCTGCAAAACAGCAGCGTAAAATGACCAAATTCTGCATTGTCTGGAGAATGTGAACCACCACGGCTAATTTTTTAAATTTTTGTTTCGAGTTAATCGATGTGTCCTAGATTCAGTTTCATGATGGCTTTGACAGTGATAGACAAATTAAATGACTCTAGAGTACCACGAGGTTCATAGGTAAAATATAAACCCATTTTTTAATCGACGCTGTCCTCGATGTCGCCATTGTGGTTTCTTAAGCTCCCTAATATTCAAGCAACACCAGACAATAAAGAAAACAAAAGAATGAGACTGGAATTTGGGCAAATTAATCTTTCTTACAAATTTAGGTTGAGTGGTATGTGTAGGTCAGCATTGGCAAATAGCCCCATCAGCAGTTGTGACAATTGCCTGCCTTACAAGACACATGACTGTTAATTTTTACTTTGTTTATTAAAACTGATCCAGGCCCCATTGGTTTGTAATAAAACTTCTCTTGCTCCTAAATAGTTCTGATAGTGATGCTGAAATTTCTGAAAGACTACACCAGCTTGCAGATGGTTTACCAGATCAAGGTACTTCTGTTCAGTAATTTATGAATAGTTCTCCAAATTTAAGTGATACATAAATTAAAAATCTATAATTTAATTAATTATTATATTTAATTATTTAATTAATCATATCTTGTTCCTACTATTTACTAACTCCACACAAGAACATCAACCTTATTAATTATGTACTAAACTGTTATTAATTTATTGTTTTTTATACAAATTTGGTCATTACTTCTTGTAATGTTGTAAAATTGTACAGACTATTGAATTCCCTACACACATTTGTATATAAATAATGAATAAATAATAACTTTATTTAAAGATGGGAAAAAGAACTTTTAAAACAGTGGGGGAACTGACAATAGGTTTATTCCTAATGCATTCAATATTCATGTTGCCAGTGATTTTTTTTAACTTACTGTCTTTTAGGCAATGTTCAACAACGGGCCAATAATATAACTGTAATTTGTTATTTTATTAGCAGGAGTTCCCATTGATGTCTTTTGGTTCATTTGTGGAAAGACCAATGTGCCAATCAGGTAATTTTATTTAATTTATAAGGATAATATTTTAAACATTTCAATTTTTGTCATTAATGTTTTGATCTGACCTCATTATTTGTGAACTGTGGTTTTCCTACAAAAAATTTGCTTTGTTTCTTACTTCTTCAAGGACAGTTAACCTGCATTTGAAGAATTATAAATTGTTTCTTGACAATTAAAATATTATGTGACGTAAACTGATTAGGATATTATTCACTTTTGAATGGTTCAGGTCCCATCTGCACCTGTTTGGAGCATTAAAGCGCTTGCAGCAATGGCATAATGCTAACATAACTGTTCTTTGCAGTAATGAGTTTGACAGGTAAACTTTTGTTGCTGTTCACTGAGATTTGGTAAGAATTTAATTGAACCTGTGTAATGCATATGGCTGTGATAGTGATCTTGTTACTTTCTACACTTAGTGGGATGACCTGTCAGTGAATGTTTTTACCAAAAAGAAACTATAAATACGGTAAACTTTTTGGTAGAGTTTTCATTGTTTTCAATAGTGATGGTTTGCGACCAATCCCAAGAGATACATATGACAGAGGTTTGGCTTCCATGTTCGATGACACTAAATGAATTCAAAGAAAAAGTCTGCATACCAGCCAAGTGGCCCATTAGACTGGAACTTAATATCTCCGGTTTCTGTATCATAAAGTGACTAGGAGTATTTCTACTCCCCCCTGGATGGGATGCTAGTTCTTCACAAGGTTACCCCCAGCATTAAAATGTTGTCAAATGAGAGAAACTTGTCAGAAATATTTTGACAATGCCAATATCGCTGTATCAGGTGAAAACCAAGATTTACAAAGAAACTAAAACTTCTCAGAACTGTCCACTGGTAAGCTGGGTGCTGACTAGTTAACTAATTTGCATTAACTGATTGTAATCTAGCAACATGTTGGTGTAGATGACTTAAATTGAAACATCAGAATTTCATCAGCGCTTTTGGTAATTTTTATTTATTTATTAATTAAACATCTCTCTTGTTTTATTGAAGGAATTCCTTTATGAAGTCTTGGCAGAATAGTCTGAAGTTTTCAATCTCACAGCTAAACCAAAATGATATCACTACAAAACTATTTAATCCATCAGTTGTATGGCAAGGTTCTCTGATCTTTGGTGAGGTAATTTTATTTTCATATTTTTTTCTTTGTTCCTTCTATTTGTGCTACTTCTTTTTATGCAAATCTCTATTTTCCAAAACAATGCACTCTTTACATGTACAGTGTNGAGTTTTCATTGTTTTCAATAGTGATGGTTTGCGACCAATCCCAAGAGATACATATGACAGAGGTTTGGCATCCATGTTCGATGACACTAAATGAATTCAAAGAAAAAGTCTGCATACCAGCCAAGTGGCCCATTAGGCTGGAACTTAATATCTCCAGTTTCTGTATCATAAAGCAACTAGGAGTATTTCTACTCCCCCCTGGATGGGATGCTAGTTCTTCACAGGGTTACCCCCAGCATTAAAAATTTGTCAAACGAGAGAAACTTATCAGAAATATTTTGTCAATGCCATCCAATATTGCTGTATCTGAGGTGAAAACCAAGATTCACAAACAAACGAAAACTTCTCAGAACTGTCCAGTGGCTAGGTGCTGACTAGTTAACGAATTTGCATTAACTGATTGTGATCTAGCAACATGATAGTGTGGATGACTTAAGATGAAACATCAAAATTTCAACAGCGCTTTTGATAATTTTTATTTATTTATTAATTAAACATCTCTCTTGTGTTATTGAAGGAATTCCTTTATGAAGTCTTGGCAGAATAGTCTGAAGTTTTCAATCTCACAGCTAAACCAAAATGATATCACTACAAAACTATTTAATCCATCAGTTGTATGGCAAGGTTCTCTGATCTTTGGTGAGGTAATTTTATTTTCATATTTTTTTCTTTGTTCCTTCTATTTGTGCTACTTCTTTTATGCAAATCTCTATTTACCAAAACAATGCACTCTTTACATGTAGTTCTTTTGTTATTGTCATCCCAGGGTCAAACACGAACTGAACTGCCAGGATTCAATTTGTGTTTTGAAAAGAGCAAGAAGAAGATGGAACCCAGTTTCAGTTTGTCTCAATGTCAAGAAAAAAGGTTGTAGCACCTTTTCATTATTTTAATATTATTGCAAAATAACTGTAGTAATAGTTACTATAGTTTATTGTTATTCATTCTTGGAGTCAAATTGAAGACCTTGGTTCCATGTCTGTCACTAATAATATTTTAACATTGTTTTTTCATTGTGGAAGTTTATTTGAGTGATTGTCATGTGAACTTAATTCACTGGACCTCTGTAATATTGCAGGTATTTAATTTCAAAAAGTCTAGAATAATAGAATAATTCTGTTTGTACCACAATGAAAAGGTTACTTGAAACCATTTACGTGTGGCCATTAAACAATTTCCATATTTATGTTACAAGGGGGAGTTTCCTTAGAAATATCAACCAGGGCTTTGTTGCTTTAATTTGTATACAGACCTTACTGAACAAGACCATGCTTAGTCAGCACGTGGTTGTACTGTATTGTATCTCACAATGTATTTTTATTGACAATCTTCCTGGCATTATAATTAGCTTTCTCATGTTTTACTTTCTCTTCTAGAAAGGAGAAAAGTTCCACTTATGTTACAGTCTTCATGGCATTGGCTTTCTCATGTTTTACTTTCTGTTCTAGAAACGAAAAAAGTTCCACTGATGTTGCAAATTGTCTGCACATTGCACCTGAGATAACTATCCTCTGCAAAGTTCAGAAGCACACTGTTCCTTTCCACATGTTTCTGCCAGTAAGACTAGGACTGTATCCTTTTCTGTATTAGACCTGTGCTTACAAGGACTTCAAGGAGGGATTTTTTATTTTGGCAACGAATGAATTATTTGGACTTAGGGTTTGTTAGAAGCTAATCTCTATTAAGCCTAGATCTCACACTGCCAACTCGAAAGAATATCTTGAGAGCTGATTGGTTACCACTGTATTAGTGACCTTATGATTGAATTTCAGGCCAGCGTGCAGTGAGTGTTTAAAAACTCTCGCTTGACTATGAATGGCATTCCATTTTATTACTGGTAAGTCTATTTTGTTAAGGATTGACCACTGAGACTCGAGTATACACAGATGTAGCCACCAGAGTTTAAAGTTAATCACTTTACTCAACCACTCTACTGAGCAGTTACCTTTCATGCCATTTTAAGACTTGAAATTTTCGCAAACATTTGCAATGAGGTACACAGGAGGCAGGCAGAAGAGAGGGGAATATTTTTGTTCTATTCTCATAGCATGCTGAATTTGTGTCAAAACAGAAAGAAGGTCTTCGGCAGCTGCCTAAAATAGTTTAAATTATGTGCATGCAAACTAAACGTAATGAAGTTTCCTTGACTGGTGTTGTGTTGAATACTAAGTAGCCTGAATTGCTTATCCACCAAACTTTCCGCAAGACTTGTTGAATGGCTTTCTTTTGAAAATAACAAGGTAAGTTTCATTGCATTTTAGTAATCAAATCGGCACATAATACTGTCATTTATTTGCTTTTCAACTGAGAAAGAAATGTTGAGCTTCTAATTTAATGATCCTGGTCAAGGTATTAAATGGTTACAAAGGGTTGGGAGCTGAAGGTTAAAGGGGTTAAGTCTACATACAAACCAAGTGACCCATCAGGATGGAGGTTATCCCGGTTTCTATAACTTGAAGTGACTAGGAGTACTTCTACTCCCCCCCTGGATGGGATGCGAGTCCATCGCAGGGTTACCCCAGCATTAAATTTGCTGGTACCTATTTGTACAACTGGGTGGAGAGAGACACTGTGAGAGTAAAGTGTCTTGCCCAAGAACACAACTCAATGTCCCCGGCCAGGGCTTGAATGCAGATTACTCAATCCGAAGTCAAGTGCAAAGTACCTACTTAGTAGCCTCCTGTCATCTGGGATTCTCAACTTTGTTAGTGTAACTGTAAATAACGAATTTCTCTCTGCAGAACATCGCCTTGATTGGAAGCTTACGGCTTGTTGCTCCATCAAAACACTGCTCGAAAAGAAATAACAAAGAAGCTTGGTTTGATTTTGTTAAATCTGAAGACCATTTGGGTATGAGTTGATTCCATTAGACATATTTCTGCAGCTGTTAGAATAAGTAAGGCCATCCCCTTTTTTTCCTCTGTTTAACGTCGTCCGACCGACCCAGATTTTCGCGTTTTCAAAAAAAAAAAAAAAGTTACACAGAAGGCAATGAAGGCAATGACTCATTATTTCAAACAGTTGTCACTTTAATCTGAAACATAAGCAATTTTTTACCTTACAGATTTTTAGTTTTTCCCTGTTCTCGTTTGATTTTAACGACGTCGACTTTTTCATGCCTCAATTGCCGCGGTGTTGACTTTGTAACCACACCTTATTGTTTCCAGGCTCCACGGATATTATGCTGAGGTACCGGGCCTCCTAGCTCCAGACTCCTTTTCCAATTAATATTTTATTTGTGTTTTTTTTTCCTTTTCCGACCGACCGATCCAAACTCAGAAAATGCATTCGACAATAAACGAAAAAAAGAGGGGATGGCCTAATGAAAACAGCTATATATAACACAACATGCTAAGCCCTTCTGCGATGAACAAGATAAAATTCAAAATTGATGGAAGCCCCAAAATAATAGATTAAAAAGGTAGAAGAACATTATCCTTAAGTAGAATCAATAAACCAAAACAAAATGAGAATGCCAACATTGGAGGAAAATTACCATGGATTATGAGGGACAGACCAGAAGCCTTCAGGACAAATGTTTGGCTTTTACTATCCCAAACTAAATGACACTGAACCTCTCTCTGGAACAGGGGTCAGAAACAACTTTATTCTATATGTTTTGCCCGTGTAAACAGGCATCTTTCCTTGCATGGTCATTCTTCCTCCACTCGAGAGACGCCCAATACAACCTCCTTCCCATCTCTTCTTCTCATACGCGTGAGCTGGAGGGGCAGGAGGAAGAGAGATCCAGGGAACGAGGCATCGCCTGATGACATTGAAACTAAAACATTCCATTCTGATGACGTAGTACCGCAGAGATCCGTGTCTGATTGGTTGATACTTGCACCTGAAAATTTCAAACCCAGCAAGAACCCAACAAAGACACTAGACAGGTCTTTGTGGAGTTACTGTATTTCAACAAAGTAGAATTTCTTCTAGTCGAATCGCAGCCGTCATCTTTCCGGAGGAAAAATTGAGCGTGCCCTGGGGGATATCAGTTTATGAAGGTTCGGCCTTTGGTTGTCTCTTATTTGTTATTTATTTATGTTTTTTTAAATAAATTATCTTTATTTGATTGCCTCCTATGGAATCATTTCAGCTGCCAACAAAGTGGATTCTAAAGCTGGAGAAAATGACAGAGAGTCATGCAGGCGTGTGTGTCTTATATGTGGAAATACTGAGAAAGAACTGAGTGTGTATGTTCTGAGACCGCCTGAACATCTGAATGGCTGGATACAGCATGACTTGTCCACAATCCATTCTTCACTCCTTATTTCAAATGATCAAGAAGGTGAAAAAAAATGTAAACGTTTGTCTTATACTCAAAAAATATAGCTTTCGCTTATACAAGAAGGTGTGAAGAAGACACTTCCCCTTTTTCTTATCCTTTGACGTTTTATACCTTTCTCTCTCGTGTAAATACCATATCAAATAGTCGTTCAATCGTAATGATATTTATAATAACAAATCCACTTTTCCTTCCATCATCGTGTTGCCTGTCTGTACATGGCGCCTTTCACTTTTCGATCTGATTGATAACGATTTGAGAAGCTCACTAAACTTCGGAATAAAAATTAAACAGTGGCAGCAATGACAGTAGCACTAATGATAACATACTTTTATTACAAGAGCTTCAAGCAAAAAGGAAGCTGTGTTTTGTGTAATTTAAGTGTCCATAAGGCCTACAGGGTTTTTGTGATTTTAGTATCTCTATAACATCTAAAACTGTATTCAAATCAGAAAAATGAATTCCGATGCTTTTTTTGGCCTGAAATCAAGCTTTAAATTTCCCGCTTTGGCCACGCCCAATGAAGTTGACCGCGTAATGAAAGATTGGTGATGAATGAAGTCACTTCAGGAACATCTCAAAGCTTCGTGTTTTTAATTTGCTTGCTTGACGACCGCATTGTTTCACCAACTTCGGTTTATTTGTTTTTTGTCGACGAAAACTCCTAACCACTACTGAAACAACAGTGACCTAAACTAGCACGATTTGACAATTCCTGACTTGACTTCACGACTCATTCAGAAACCCAGACCCTTTTTTTGCACTGACTCACGGTCAACTTCATTGGAAGTGGCTGAAGCGGGAACTTTAAAGCTAGATTTTAGGGCGTTAAAATGTCGGAATCCAATTTTTTTTCTTAGAATACCTTTCTACACAATATAGAGATACCAAAACTACAAAAACCCTGTTGGCCGTATGGACACTTTAAAGTTTTTCAGGGCATTATACCTTGGTGTTTATTTGATGTCGAAGTGTCATTAATTATAGGAAACGGGATAAAACCGTTCTGGAAACATTGATTGTCTTTAAAATGTCAAACGAACCGACGAACCTTATTAATTTATTTCAATTTATTTTTTTAAACAACTTTTAACTTTATGTTGATTTTAATAAAGTTGTATGACATGTGTATTTACCATGTACTTTTATTGTAGTGGGAGGACCCTTAAGATTTCCAGATCTGACAGATAGGTTTTTGGAAACAGAACAGAATTTGACTGAGGTCTTACTGCGCATTTTACAGCAAGAACTGAGTGAGTAACAGAATTTCCCATTTCAAATGCATTAGAATCCCGATTTCTCGAACCCTCATCTTTTAGCACCTCCCGATAACTCGAACCAAAAGTCGTTTCCCCTTCTCAGTCGAACACTGTCATTTTAACCCCGATTTCGCGAACTATCCGATTTTTCGAACTAATTTTCGTTTCCCTTGGAGGTTCGAAAACCTAGGGATTCCACTGTATACATTTAAGAACGGACTGGATAGCGTTTTTTCAACTTGTAATAAACCTAAATATCATTCAAGTCGGTGTTGTTATATTTTCAAGCCCCCCTTTTTTGCGAAATGATCATTCCTCTTCTTCCTTTCGGCTATATCAGCTTGATCTCTATCTCTCAAACTGACCTCACCAGTTGATGTCACGTTACGCTTTGGCCGCGTATTCGAATGCCATTTTTGAAGGTAAAATAGCTGATCTTTGCACATTGGTAAAATCAACATTTTGTTTCTAAGCTTCTCAAATTTTGGAATTTTGCATTTCAAACAGCGTACTTTAAAATTATGTTCATATTAATTTCGCTTCATTGTCACATTAAACATTTTCATGTATGTCTTTTTGCAGAAACTTCAGATGACTTACTTTCAGCTAACCCTACTCCTGACATTGTGGATCAAATCATATCAGAAAAATGGAAGTTCTTGAGAGAGCAAAGGTAACTGATATAAGCGCATAAACCGTGACAGCAATTTCGAGTTCTCTTCCGAGCGTATAATGCCTTCGTTCGGTTAAAATGTTATTGAAAAGCTCGGTGGCTCTTCAATTTTGGCTGTGTTCCATTGTTGTTTTAAGGGTGCAACTCTCATATCACGGACATTCAATTTGCAAGTTCTGTTTGGTTAAACCTCTGCAAAAGTAAACGAGGGGAAATGCTATCTTTATTGTTCAATGGACAGACAAACAAATTTCACGTTAGATTTTTGCCAACAAATGACGTCATGTTGCTTAGCGACATCCTGGTAAATTATCGGAGACCGGCGGTACTTACCATTTACATGGGAAAACCGGAAATTCCAGTTGGAAAATCAAATGGTTCGCGCCATTCCATTTGGGAAGCTTCAGAAAATATGGGTTGTGATTTGAGGTGATGCTATTTTTCTGATCTTTTAAGTCTCTCTAGCTGATGTGGATATACTTTATAACAATTCCCTCTCTCGCAACGTCAAATTTCATTGTTTAATGTTTATGCCTGAAATTTCCAACCGGATGGTTTTTGTAAATGGTAAGCACCCCGGATTCCGATCAAAGTGACCGAGTCTATGTGGATAATGCTTTGGAGTCTCATTAAACATGATCCAAGGTTTAGAAATCTCACTGGTATGGCTTGATTCAAATACATTCTTTCTTTTTTGTAAGAATACGTTTTATAAGAATATCGAGGCTGACATTTGCGATGAGACTGAGATTTTGAAAAAGATATAATTTAGTTGTATTGAAAGTTCGTAAATACAATACAGTTATATGTTTTTAATTAAACCGTATAAAATTCTTCTTGTATCTAAATGGTAAAACTAGCCAAAAAGCAACGAAAACAGCATTAGCCGTACGTTCGATGCTAACTGACACTTCTACAAGAAGTTATGTGCGTCATACCAGGCTTTAATACCTGCAGGCTGACTCCAAAATTACTTGAACACCATCCAGACACCAAATACATTCGAAAACAGAAATGTCATGCGTCATAATCTAACAATATTCACATGAACAATTTCAGCCTAAAATCGGCAGGAAAATAAGCATATTCAGCCTCGCCCAGAAAACAATATTCCCATAAAAAAGAGTGTATGTTGCAGTTCACCTTGACTGTGAAGGCAACGAGGGCATTGTACTGATTTGAAGTGACGTTTTAAGCGAGTTGCTGGCCTTGTCTTTCACTCGACGTTTTAATGCGACGTATTATGTATTATAAAGTTAGGTCTCAGCTGCTATGTTTGCAAACAAACTGCTTGACCATGATATTTACGTTTTGGCATACGTACTTGAAAAGAAGGGCTTCGTTTCTGGTACAGTCAGGGCGTGGAAAAGTAAAACAGAGGGAAAACCGTCAAAGATGCGAGGAAGGAAAACAAATACTAACAAAATGAGTAAGTTGCTTAGGATTTCAATCAAGCTTCCCTGTGAAAAGTTTGTGATTCTGGCGAATGATCCATTTAGATAATATATGTCCTATAAATACCGTCTTCTAAGTACCCCCAGTAAATCAGTGTCGTACTGATATGTTATTGCAGGGAAAAGTTGTTTCGCGATGGGAAAACACGTCAACTCGAGGCTGTTAAGAGAGAAGTTTTACTTCAAGGCTTGTCAGGTGATATACCCTCAAATGTTAAATATGTTAACTAGCGTAAAATCATTTTCTTTTGAACTACATAACATCATTTAAATTTGATGCCGAAAACATCGACTAGTGCAAACTTTTGTCATCAGACTAAGACCTTTTTACGTCCTTAATTTAGCTTTAGCTTGCGCTAAAGAAAGCGCATGCGAGTCGGGCAGGTGGGCACCGGGCAAATCGACCGGCTGAGGCCGATTTTGCCCGCCTGGTTTAACCACCTCGAGGAAATTTTCGTTCAAAGTTAGTTCAAAACGTTTTGCCTGCTTGTGAAAACCAGTTGCCCTCTTGTTGAAAACGTCAATGAATCCCCTGGCTCGGAACACTCCATAAACAGTGTGAAACGCTAGTGTTTTTTTTTTCTGTTAAGATGTTTAAGTGGAAACAGAAGCATATCAACTAGGTGATATGCTTCTGGTTGAAACCATACTAAGCTCTTTCAAAGCATTGTGGATAGAACGTCCATTATGTGGTGTGGTTCTCGTTCTCGCACGGTGTGAAAAAAGTGTTTAAGGAACTGAAACTATAAATGCAAATGTCACTTTACCTAATGGTGTAACACGGGAGAACTCTTAAGAACTTGTTATAAGGTATACGTGCATCAGGATAGAGTTGAAAGTTTGGTTTCAGAGCAAAGCGGAGAACCAACAACGAACTCAACTCATATTGATGAGAGGCAAGCGCTACGCCGACTTTCAAAAGATCTTCAAAATCTTGAAAAAGGGGGGTTTAAGTTATGCTTTTTTTAAGTCGACCATCTGTTATTGCCCTCTTTAGTTTAATTCCTGATAAAATTTATTTGCATTTTGTGTATGATTTACAGAAATACCTTTGTCTCCAAGTAAATGGCCTGAGAGAGCTTGGCTCATTAAAACTGATCCAAACACAAGGTAAAGCAATTTTACTTTTGATTTTATTTGATTCCTTACAAAAGAGCTGCTTAGGGTAGCCTAGGTAGCTTGGTTTTTAGATTTTTAGTCTCTCTGCTCCTTATAACAGGATATCTGAAAATAATCAAAGCGTTGTTAGATTTATTCTCGTGTTAACAACGTACTGGGGTTCATTTGTATTAAGATTCACGTCAGACAATCGTTCAATGTGCTCTGACACTTTAAAAAAACTACCTGTGTTGGTGGGACCGTTTAACTCGACAAATGATTAGTTGGAGGCAAATGAGTAGCAGGAGTCAGCGTGGGCGACTGGTTAGGGCGCCGGACTTGATATCTCGACGTCGCGGGTTCAAGTCCCCCTCAGACCACTAAGCTGAAGTTGTTTCTGGGTATGTAGACCCTAGTTCAACTCCTTGGTCATGCTGATAAATAGCCAACTGGTCTGCCTCCCGCCAGTTGAGATTTAGTTGATATATTAGTTTCTTTCAGTTTAAGTGGCATGCCTGTGAACTCGCTAGGTGTAGCTAAGCACATTGACCATTCTAAACAACAACATTTGAACATTTTTTTGGGTAATTGAAATCAGTTAACATGTTACCGATGTAATCGATAAAAGTGCCGTTTTTTGTCACTGACTTGTATATTTTAACAAAATATACAAGTCAGTGACAAAAAACGGCACTTTTATCGATTATGTCATCTCCTGACTACATTTACTCAATTTTTAAATGTTACCGATGTATTGTAAGTTTTTGTTTACCTTATCGTATAGAGTTAAGCACGCTACTGTGGGGGACACGGACAAACAGTTCCCGTTATTAGCGTCAGGTAAGACATCAGTTTGATTTTTCTTTCCTTTGCCATCTGTTCATCATATCGATCTCAAGTTAAATTTTGAAGGAAGGGTCAGGTAATTGCTGAACGCCAATATTTACGGTTTCAAGACGCCAGACGCCTAAACCTTTACGTCAGTTCAAAAATTTATTAATGAACCTAAAATATAGTTCGCAAACTAGTTATTAGTGGTACTCGGGGTCGTGAGCTTTCTCTTGAAGGGAAGTCGCACTTATGGTAAGTTTCTTTGCGTGTTAGCAGGCTCACATATACTTTGAAACAGATGTCTTGTCGTTTTGTTCTTTTAAAAGTTTCATCATTGAGTATTCAAGATATCTTGGAGAAATTCCGCATGGATGGAACACCTGCTAGAAGTGACCTCGTTCCCATTCAACCCAGGGTGAGATAATGTTATAAGTTATACTATTAATAGTAAAATGCCGTATTTTCCTGAGTAATGATCCCACAAGCGACTGTGAGATGAGTGTCATCCCAGATTTCTTCTCTTTTTATGAGTGGCTAATGAACCCTTTAATACCAAGGGTTAGGAGTGAAATTATCGAGTCTAACGTAAACATGCTGAACCAACCGACCTATAATCCTTGAGGAGTCCTTGTCTAGATCTGAATACAGCCCACTAACCAATCTGATGGCGCGCGTTGCATTGTAAGAGGGGCTCAATATGGTGGTGGCTTTTACGGCTAACGGTTATAGAGTGGTTTTTATTTGAGTTTCGAAAGTAATCAGACAATTACTTTAGTTTCGGTTTTGGTTTTACTACGGTTTGCGATTGACTGAGTAGTCTAATTGGTTTGTAATTCGCTTGGTTTTGGTTTTGCGACACAATTGAAAACTGCTCTATTTCAGTGGCTTATTTACGGCTAACGTGTAATTTATGTTCCTTGCGATTAACAGCTTGTTTGAAAAAGTTAGAAAATTATTTTGATTAATTACTGTAAAACATATTTAAGGTCCTAAGACCATTCCGGGATGGAAGAAGGCATAATTTTAAGAATTGTAGACTAACCTAATTACTACTATAGTAAGACAAGACACATTTTTTTACGGCCAACGGTTAAAATTTTCCAATTTTTACACTTACTATACATTGTAGTCGCCATCTGTCTTCTCATGGGCTAAAAGCTTGCAGTTAATTCTGGGAAACAGCGCAACCTACAGATTATTCACTAATCTGCAAGCAGATTAGTGAATAATCCGTAGGTTGCGCGCGCAAAGCATGATTTCCGAGAGCAATGTGAAGTTCACGGACAGCGAAGTAAGAACATGGCTTGTCGAAGATAAACTGTGTTCGGTGCGACAATGCGTTTGTCGTTATTTTCTTTAAAACAATGTATAATAAAACAATTATTAGATTCCGTTTTTGTGACATCCGAAATAATCAAGGTCTCGGTTAGTGTTATCAGCCTCAGCTTTCGACTTCGGCTGATAACACTTACCTCGACCTTGATTATTCCGGATATCACAAAGACCTCATCCAATGATTGTTTACTAATGGCTAAATTTTTGGCCCGTTTTACGGCTAACGGTTAACCTCTTAGAGACCCTCATGCCTACAGCCAGTTGGCTTTGCATTTTAGATGAGTGTGGCGTAGTAGACGTAGGACCAGTGCTGTCTGTTTTTTTCTCGTGATTCTCACTAAGCCCATTTGGAAATTTTTGGATAATGTTTTTTTTTTTTTGCAAACGTTTAATTGCTGCTGTGTTTCCAATTAATTTATAGGAGGAGAGTTTACGTGAGAGACGTATCCAAATAGGCGCCGATGACGTGAAGGGAAAAGGTTACCCAGAGGCACTTGCGACACTGTACCACGGCATTGAGTATGGTTTCTTTGTATTCTGTTATCTGTATTCTTGGCATTTCTTTCAATGATAGTTGAGAATTTTGTGATATTACCATAGTCTCCATTTCCTAGATGAAGAATTTCATAATTCTCAATCACCAAATGTTTGTTTGGAAATGTGCTAATACTTTGAAGAGGGATTGGATTTTGCGGCTGAAAGATTTGAATCCTTGGTTTTATCCTGATAGTGCAGGTATCAAAGCGGAAAAAAAAAGACCCTTTAAATTATACTTATTTAAAATCACCAGTTTGGACTTATGATCCGCCTTTTTTGGAGTTTTATTATTAATGTTTTCTAAACTAAGCTCGTTGCACAGCCAGTCTCTATTGACTGTGTATGTATCAATCCTTACATTCAGTGTCGTACTTCCTTTCCTGTGTCAGATACTGCCTTGATGTTCGAGAAGCCATCTCTAAGGATTCGCAGCTTGCACAGCTTCAATCTTCACATGTTAAGCTCGAGACGTTTTCATCCTGCGTGGAAAGGGATCACAAGCCATTGGCCAGCCGCTGTACCCAGGCTGCGACCAAAGCGGCCAAAAATGACAGAAAGCAAAGCTTAATGAAGCTCAGTGTACCTCTGACTAAAACAGGGCACGCAGGAAAGGGAAGAAAACCAGTGTCTTTGATAGGAAGGTAAGATGAGGGGGACGGTTCCGTGTAACGAGTATGAAACGAGTGTGTAACGAGGGCGTAACGAGTTGTACCGAGTTATAATGTTTCATTTCAAGTTATGCCGAGTTATTCTGAGTCGTGCCAAGGCCTGGCGAGTCGAACCTGAAGCTTTACTGAGAGATAAAGAATTGTACCGAACCGGACAGATTTGTGTCGAGTGGTACCATTGCGTAGCGAGTCGTTACGAGTTATCACGTTTCTTATCGAGTCATACAGAGTCATGCCGAGTCCTCTCAAGGCCGGACGAGTCGTACGTTCAGCTTTACCGAGAGATAACCAGTTGTACCGAACCGGACAGATTTGTATCGAGTCGTACCAGTGTGTACCAAGGCTGGAAGAGTCGACGGAGTCGTACGTGCAGCTTTACCATGAGTGGTCGAATTCTTCCGAATCGCACCGATTTGTGTCGAGTTGTACTATTGGGTAACGAGTCGTCACGATTCACATCGAGTAGTAACGAGGCGTACCGTTGTCGTACCGATCGTGAAAAGTTGCGATTAATTTTAAACATCTTTTAAACCATCTTTGGTTGTATGCCCACCAGAGAGAACTTGGTGTAGAGAATGATATATCAAACCTGATAAGTGTCTTATTTCCTCAAGGTCGCTGAAGAGGGAATCACCGGTCGCGAAGAAAACAACGGTAGCAACGAAAAGAAAGCGACAAGAGCCAGAAGAACAAGGTTAGATCAGATTAGAAGTTTGTTGCATTATTTTACAGCGAAACGCTCATTCTTCAAGATCCTTAGGCAGGAAATGAAGTCGAGGGGAGCTAGTGGGGGAAAATGAAAATGAGACAGTCAGGATCTGGGAAACCTTTATTCGTGCACTTCCGTGCATCCCGCGGTGAATTCAAACACAAGGGTGCCAGTTAGTGAGAATGACATCTAGTTGATTTCTTTGGTACTTTTGGGCTATGTTTACACTTGATGCCCAAGTACGGTGCTCGAGTAAGATTCTCGCTGGCCGCTAATGTGAACACCCTCTTTCCAAGTAATCACACCAGAATTCGTGCACACTGCCCTTACCCGGGTACAAGGTCTCGACACTGTACTCGGGCACTATATGGTACTTGGGTTTTTGGAGTGCCAGTGTCTGAACGCAACGCTGTTTTGTTTCGGTGCACAGGCACCAGTCCTCGGGCACCAAGTGCGGAAACAGCCTTACTCACATCATACTTTCTCACCTAGGCCTCAGTACGCTATGCAGTGCAGAAATCACATACCTTTGTGTAAATTGTATTATATGTAAGGATTGACTATGTATGACTTTGCTACTTTTGTGTTCTCTTTTTGATTTAGAAAGTAAACCTGATGAGATAGATGAGGATAAGAACAGGGAAACGCGCTCAGAAAGACACAAGAGAGTAAGTAGACCCAGGAATGGAAATAACTTTTTAGAGTTAAGTTTAAAACTAGCCTACAGTAGCAGGTATTACCATCGCGGCCCCACCGAAATATCTGCAACTGGACGCTACGACCAAATAAAGACTTCCTATCGTATTGATCGTGATCTTTTAGCCAATATCTGCCAATTCAATTTAATAGTCGTTCAGAGCTTTACTGAAGATTCGGTTTTACGCTTAAAAAGGAACTCCCCTTTCCCCCGCTAAAACAGAGAACAAGAAATTGTCGTCCCCGCTTTCCAGCTTCTGCCCCTTTTCAAACCATTCTTGTTCACAACACAAATGCTAAGTGCCCTATCTTTCGCCTTTTATGCTGATTTACGCATAGTTGAATGCCACCACTTTTTTTTTCTTTCTATCGGCCAGTGGCGAGCGTGGCATAAAACTTCACCACAACAATTAATCCTTATTATTTGACAATAGGCCACGTCCGATGCAATAATATTCTAACATGGTTCCGAGGCTTTCAAGATAAAATTGCAAATTTGTCTCTCAGTTCTCGAGAAACTTGGATACAAAGAGAACACCATCAAATATTGAAGTTTGTCCTGAAAGCCTCGGAGCCAGATAAGAATATTGATGTATCGAACGTGGCCTATTACTTTGCCATCTACAAATGATAGCCAGTAAGGAATACACAAACTTTTATTTAGATGAAGCAGGATTGCTTAGAAAACGTTTTAGGGCTAATTATCAGTTCCAAGTTAGAACGATAAGAAAATCATTTGTCAGCCATTTCGTCTTGACTATTTTTCAGCGCCTCCGTCAAGTTGTACAGAAAACGCTTGAAGACAACGGAATTGACTCTAATCACCCATTCTACGAACCATGCACTGAAAGACTGTACTCTCTATGTAAAAGTTTCCTGAAGGTGAGTTTATTACCTTCTCTGTTGGTAGCGTCCACATCTACTTCAAAATGGGCCACACCATACATGTAGGGGCCTTCTCGTTTCGTCGGCGATGAGCGGGAAACACGGCGCGCGGGGCTTCATGGTTGTGTTGCGAGACGCGGAGCAACAGGCCCACAACAGCCCCAAAACTCCGCGCGCACTGCGCGCAAACCAAGGAATAGGGACGATGTAGCCGCAGGACCTTTATATCCTTCTTCATTTAGCATGTAGAAGCAAGGGTTCCCCCACTTCCTCTAGATAAATTATAATCTTGGCCGGGTCATTCCGGTTGCCCTGGGTGGAAAAAAGCACTACGAGAGTAGTGCGAGTCTTGCCCGAGAACACAATGCCATGACCCTTACCAGCGCTCGAACCTAGACTACTCGTTCTGTGCGCTTCCGGAGTCTTGTCATTTATTTTATTTATTTATTTATTTATTTATTTATTTTATTGTATTGTATTGTATTGTGTTGTGTTGTGTTGTGTTGTGTTGTGTTGTGTTGTGTTGTGTTGTGTTGTATTTTATTTTATTTTATTTATGAAAGNTTGTGTTGTGTTGTGTTGTGTTGTGTTGTGTTGTGTTGTGTTGTGTTGTGTTGTATTTTATTTTATTTTATTTATGAAAGCTTCGACTTATTCCATCATTATTTCTCTTTTTTAATTTAATGCAATTTTGTGAAAAATCTCCTTCTTCCCCACAGGGAGAATGGTGTAAACATAAGGAGTTCCTTAGCCAAAAAGACCATTTTCTACAAATGTAATGTTGACAAGTTTACTTTGAGATCGTAAACAGGTTGTTTCCACGCAGCCATTATAGATTTTACCTTCGCATTTTCTTACAAATTTTAAAGTTAGCTTGTCGTCTTTTCTCTGAGGATGGGATTTTGCTCTCGACAAGTACAGTAGTAACACGTCGAACTGTGGTTTTCCATTTGTGACACGCCCGCGTGATATTTTCTTTCAGGATCTGCGCTCTTCTCACGGCTTAAACGACGAGATGAAAAGATTGGCAAAGAGCATCGTTCATCAGGTAGTACTAAAATATATTCACATGATGTGTATTTATTACTTCTTCATGCTGGAAATGGAACTAAAATCAGGTTTAAAAGTTCTATATTGTCTCGTTCGCATCCGTTAGATGAGTCACTAGATGAGTCACGCAGCGAAGTGGGGAAAGCGTTGCGTGACGACCCAACTAACGGCTTTGAACTAGAGGAAGGGCGACTTCGTGCGAACCGTTTCTACTTCTTTAATAACTTATCCAACATACTAAGCTACACTTTGAAGACTACAGATGTCGAGTGGCTCCAGTTGCACGTCCAACATAAATGCTTTATACAGAACACTGAAGGAGAGATCAGGGCATGATTAGCACACTTGTGCGACTGAAATTCTCGTTTCTCTACAACCATGCAGCTTCGATCGCTCCCGAGGGTGTCTGCCATAGAGAGTTCACTATGTTTCGTTCTCTTGTTTTCTTCAGGTGATAGAATTTGAGACGAAAAGAAGATCAGAAGAGAAAAAGACATGACTAAAACAATATTTAAAATACTTTATTTCACATTATTTTACTGTATAGCTCACACCATTACTTTAGATAATAAAATTACATCTTAGGTTATTAAAATTGTTGGCTTCTTTAGGGTAATTCAAAAGGTATTCTTTGTTCAGCTGAATCAGAGACTCCAAAAGTACGCTTCCGCGTGCGTTTCCCCATTCGTTCCCAGTGCATCTCCAGCGCATTTCGCGTACGTTGCACAATCAATTTCCACTGCGCTCTATACTGCGCACTAGTACTCAGAAAATTAAACTCTCTCTGGTTATTAATATTTTAAGTTGCTTTTGAGCTAGTTCAAACGTATTGTTTTTGGTCCGGCCCACTCCACAATAGTTCACCCTGGATTCCCCTCTTCTTTCCATCTTCTCATTCATTTTCCCATCTTCCATCGCGGTTTTCGCGTGCAACATACTAGAGGACATTGCATAATGTGTTAAATGTCCCTGTTTTCATCTTGCATTTTGCATTACATTTTGCGACTATTTCGACTATTCAGTTAGCCTTTTTCCTTTTGGTGTGACAAGGCCTTTGTCCCGCAACATACCTAAACCTTCCGTAAGTTTGAGAGTTTCTAATGCGCTCTCATTCTGAGCGAGATTTTATTTTATTCTTTATTGGCTACTCGCAGATTTTTCTCTGCTTCTTTATCGTCTTTCTGTTTGCTTTCGATCTCGATCAATTAGAGATCTATTAAAGGCAGTTTTGACTTCGCCTCTGGCTTGCGTTACATTTGGTATCCCAGCTGAGCAGGAATCCTTGCGTTACACGAGGTCACAGCTGAATCAGTAGCTTCTCAGCTGACGTAACAGTTCGATGATACGCATGCGCTCCCTTTCAGGAGCCTGTTGACGACGGCCCTTGCCAGGTAAGTCGTGGTGCCTCCCTTGCCGTCACGTGGTGTGTTGTGGAACTGATCTTTAGCACTCTGCACAATACAAACCAAATTCAGGATATATTATCGAAAGTAATTTGTATTTGCTTTGATTTTGGATCTACCACGCTAAGCGATTGGCTTAAAAAACTCGCGCAAATTTGTCATCTAATCAGAGGTAAAACCAAAACCAGTGGTGACTCGCTCGCACACATTTTCCCGCGCTTTTCGTTGGCTACATGTATTTGCTTTGAGTCTTGATTGGTTCACTGGATTGCCTGTGTCCTTTGTGATTGGCTAGAGTGATTACTTTGGTTTCGGTTTTACGACACTCGTTGAAAACTGCTCTACTCGTGGTTCAAAACACTATATATGTTGCACCAACCATTCCAACCGCATCTGTTTTTGGTTCAGATTTGGCGAAAGTATTGGTTGATATTACTGCTGTTTACTATATGCCTAGTTCCGCAAGTGAGCAAGAAAAAAAATTACCTGAAGTGAGGAAACATTCGTTTAAAGACAACTACATGTATGTTGGGCGTACTATAGCTTACCTCACTGTTTTCAGGCCCCAAGTCACTAGCGAAAAGTTCAATGGCTTCATCTACCAGCTGTTAAAGGAGAAACGGCAGTGAAATAGAAACCAAACAACATCAGTACAAACGTTCATTCTCGTCTCGAGACCACATTCATCTTGGGCAGCACTAAGAGTCACGACCTCTGGCACGAGCCAGAGACCGCGAATAAGATTTGGGGGAAAATCGAGGCTGGCAAGAGGTCGTGATTTCTGCTGCCGAACAAAATGATCGCAGTCTCGGGATCGGGAATGACAGAACACTAAGAAAAGGTTGGTACGGCGTCTCAAAGATATAAGTAGACTGGATTAGCAAAGGAAAAATGAAAAACAAAATCTCAATTCTTATTCAAAACAGCGTCATGTGAAAGGACTCCTCAACAGCTTTGTTTTTAAATGGAAAACGAAGGTTCTGACGGAAGGTTCAAGAATTCTTACCTCGTCCAAGTCAATACACTGGCTCAGCTCCACTTCCGGGTTTCTTTCAAGAATTGTTGCAAGTACGACTAAAAGCTGAAAAGGGAGATGTATACGGAGACTGTGTTAACAGCCTGACTTACGAAACGAGAAACAGTCTGTTTAGTCTTTTAGAACCAAAAACTGACAAGCGTTGCCTCGTAACACCTTAAATTCTTCTCATGTTCGTCGCATTCGACTGTAAAAAATTGCTCCTAAACACTGAGAGGTCGGAACGACCAATTATGAATTTTCCTCACTGATGTTTTTTTTTCCCATAATAGAGCTTTTATAGAAAAGTACGACTAACAAAAATTGGCAAACAATATCCACACGTAATACTTTAAAGCTGGGTTGAATCAAAGTATGAAACAAATACCTCCACTACTATCTGTCTGTATTCCGGGTTGGAAATGTCGCTTAGCAGTTCTTCCACCTTGAGCTGAAAGTTCCGTTCACGATGTGTCATTTCTGATATTGTGGGAAGCTGCAAAAACATTCGTTCAGCAAAATCTCAGCTAGCCGTTGCTTACATGACGTTCCCTGCAGTAGGCCGCAATTGACCTTTACGGCGATACGGCGGCCAGTTTGAATTCTATTGTTTCAAATGCTCAGGGGGCAAATACATAACTATTTTACCCCCTGAACATCCCATAATAGCTACTTAGGATAGGATTCAAAATGGCCGCCGTATCGCCGAAACGGTCCATTACGTTTTTGTTGCTACCTGCTCTTTCTACAAGCAATTCTAGCTATTGCCAGTGTGCAACAAGAATCTCAAGCGGTTTAATAGATGACTCATTAAACGTGATTACATTCTGCCATTATCTTATACTCTGGTATTCCGTTATAAATTTGGATAAATTACGCAAATAGTTCAGTTTGCATAAATTACCCAAATGGTTGTTACAAATACATTGATCATGTTTGCAATCCGTATCTACGAGGCACGTCCAATGTTACTCCAGGGGTGCTTACCATTTACAAAAACCATCCGGTTGGAAATTTCAGGCATAAACATGAAACAATGAAATTTGACGTTGCGGGAGAGGGAATCGCTATAAAGTATATCCACATCAGCTAGAGAAACTTAAAAGATCAGAAAAATAGCATCACCTCAAATCACAGCCCATATTTTCTGAAGCTTCCCAAACGGAATGGCGCGAACAATTTGGTTTTCCAACTGGAATTTCCGGTTTTCCCATGTAAATGGTAAGTACCCCAGGCAAACATATTCCGTCTGTACTGTTACAGTTTGATGTTTCAATGATTTTGATTCCATTTCATTGATTCTGCTCAGCCCTTATCGCGTGATTTCTGTTCACTCTATAGGAATTCAACCTGATTCATGGTATTCTTGTCCAGTTTCCTTTTATTTCTAACCCTGCGCACTATTAGTATTAGGTTTCACTTTATTTGACTGACGTATACACGTCAAGTTTGACTTATGCACACGTAAAGTTAGTTTAGTCGGCTTGATATATGATGGTTATTACGTCAAGCTTACAGCAAATGATTTCAATTCTAACCATTAATCAGATAACATAATCTGAAAGATTAACATTCTTTAAAAACATTTTGAAATGTGAGCTTTTCGAGCTCTAAACTGACGAAAATAATATGATTCCAAGTTCTCCCTACCTGCGATAAGATATTGTGTTTAGACACTTTTATTCCTTCAGGAACTCGGTCAAGTATACCCCATACTAAACAAAACAAAATCATATACGTCAAATTATTCTCGCAATTTGATTGGTTCTTATGATCTCTTGGAGGACAGACGCATTGATGACGTCATTAACATTCTTTTTTGTTTCTTTATTATATAGAACATGATCCAATGTCGCTGTGCGTCTGTTCAGTAACAGATCACAGATGACGTCAAAATGTGGTAAGAACATCAGTGACACTCGGCTATCGCCTCGTGTGCCACTTTTTTCTTACCACAATTTGACGTCATCTGTGATCTGTTACTGGACAGAAGCACGGCCACATAGAGTCTATTTGTTAACCAGAAATTTGTAGTAACCTTCATGTAACAATTAAGTTACGCCGAACAAAAAGTTTCAAAACAGCTTCCCATCTAAGGATTAAGTCACCGTAAAAAAATCTAAGGTCTCCGTGTTTTGAGCGGAATGGAAACAACCCTTTGACGTTTGGCATTTAGAAATTGCTGATGAAGTTGCTGTATCTAACAATCGCGTCAATTTATTGATATTTTTATTTTATTTGATATTTTTCGACGGACAAAGAACGCCATAGCGCTATCAAATAAATAAACCACAATCCAGCAGATAAGGAAGGTGGTTTTGTTAAGACTTATCCACTGAATATTGATTTTCCCGGTGAATGGCGTTAGAGCGTGGAACAATCGGGCACCGTTGAGCAAGGACACAACCTGCTCCTGTAACCATCAGGAAACATGCCTCCCTCCAAGACCCCCTGCCGCCCCCCACCCGGACGAGATACTTATTCTCCCAGTATCGTTGTTTGGTTTCCCCCAATCATTTGCCAGTACCCACGAAGACAGACAGCAGTGTTGATAAAGAGACTGTAAGCTGGAGTAAACTAAAGGAGAGTTCCAATCAACTCAGGCGTCGTTCAAGCCTACATCCTGATGAGTATTACGTCATGCATACCTTTGTCATAAAACCCTGGGGGAACTCTGTGAACTGCACCATCCAGCTGTCTGTTTTGCAACGGGGTCCTGCAACAAAAAGAAGAAGGAATAAATGTATAGCTCTCAGTATAAGACACCGCGGCGCATGAACAACAGTGTACTGAAGCGAACCTCGGTGCAATGTCTTGACCGTGGAGTTTCCCTTTGGAAGTGAGGACAATCTTCAGGAGTTGATTCACATCGCTTGGAGATTGAGCGTACAAAGACTGAAAAACAAAAGAACATAATTAACCATGTAAGGCCTGGTTTGAATGATTGATAGATTGATTGATTGATTGAATGATTGATTGATTGATAACTTTTTTTATACACGGTAAAAATTCCTTCAGCACAATTCAAGAGTATAAAATATCTAAGTCTGCCTAGCTAAACTATCTAATAATTAATATAGCATTATCTATCATAAGAATAAAAACCTATCATATCACTAACGCTCCTTTTCAAGGATGCCGTTGCTAATTCAAAGCTGTAATGACGCAGTTAACGTTTACATTCGCTTAAAGAAACTGTAGATCGGAGTTCATGAGAAAGGCTAGCGCTGTTCCACAACAGAGCATCCCTGTAGGAAAAACTTCTCTTGAAATAATTGATGCGGGGCTGTGGAAGAGCCAATTTAGACTGGATTTACTAACATTCACAAGCACCCCAACCATCAGCATTTCCATTACTGTAATGCATTGGTCTTGGTTTGTTTCGACAAGGCGAATACTGATCAATAATGACTTCTATAATTAATACACCTCTTGGATAGTCTGTCCATAGACGTTTTTTTTTTCTCTGCGAGATGTTTTTCGACGAGCGCGCGTACAGCGCGAGAGCGACCCGAGCCCTAACCCCTTGTGTTTAGGATTGTTCATATCCCGCGCGCCGAGTTAATATTTTGCTTGTAATCCCACGAAACACGAGACAAAATAGAGGGTGTGTGGATAGACTACCTCTAAGACAGCCGAGAGAGCAAACATTCAAAATCAATAAATCGGATTGCTTTATTTCCGGTATTCTCTACTGAGAGTACTACTTTACTCGGAGGATTCTGGCTTATTCGTTTTGCACAGACCTCACTGTGTTTAATCCGGCGTGCTGGCAAAACCTTGGGCGAATACTGAATCAATAGGCCCTCAGGCTTGCTTTAATAATAAGATATATTTAACACCTAACAGTCACCTTAGGAATGGCACCTTAACTTGACGTCATCTGAAGACGCGTTACTTAACAACACGCACACAGCAAACTTTCGGAGGCAGCATTACGCTAAGAAACGTGCTTGCTTCTACAAAATCACTACTTACGCCTAGTCCTCGGCTGGCCAATCTTTGTTTCATGGCTTCGATAATCCATCTGAAAATGACCGATAGAAGGGTCATAGGAAGGTTAAAATTAAGATTTAGACGGATTTGGAACAATGAAATCAAGTAGCACACCATTAGTGATATAGCCCTTCTGTTTTCATGTTGGTCTGTGATAAGAAATGAAACATACCCTATTCTGATCTTCAACATTCCCTCAAAGACTTTAGGCATAGTTGCCACAAACGCAGCCAAATAAAGAACCATCTAAAATAAGAGCGCAAGAAATATAACACAAATGAGTTCATTTTTAGGCACTCGAAATTTTACACAATCTCGTTCCCAGAGCGTTCGTTATCCTTGTCTAGCGGTTTTCCCGTTCCGCTGGACAAGGGTAACGAAGGCTCTGGGAACGAGATTGAATTTTACACCTCTCAGTCTAGTTTCCAGGATCCCATCTCTCAACTGCGAAGGGAATGAGACCAGGAAACGAGGATGTTTGGTTTACCGCTGACCTCTTGTTGAAGCACTGCTTCTCTGACATCATGAGGACTGCAGAAGGAATACAGGATTTTCTGCGTAAAAAGAATAAACGAAAATATAACACAAGTCTGTTCAATAACTCGCAAACTTTCGATATTAAATTTAAGCCCCGCTCCAATAAATATAGCCATCCCTCCAAATCTAAGACGAAAAACGTCCTCCGTTTTTAAGTCACTCCCTTGCTCCCCCTCCTCCACCCCCGAATATGCAGTTAGCCCACGAGCTCATTTTTAAGAGCTTGTTTTGCCATTTGTGTCGTTTCAAAATGTTTATTGACTTGTGATGTTCGTTTAACGACTGTAAAATTGGTTTTGTGTTTCACATTGTCATGCTTGGAGAGTTTTACCATTACCATGTAGCGTTGCTGTATACGCCTAAGTTAGCTGCAACATGTTTTCAACATGAAAGCCCAAGCCTCCATTGGATCATATGCCCCACACCCCGTTCCCCTCAACCTTCCTCTCCCCCCAGTACACAGACAAAGGGGACCTTAGCGATCAACACCACCTGGCAAAATCAAACCTGTTCGGCCAAAACATCATGGCGTCGAAATGTCATGGCCAAGTTCACCCAGGTAAAACTCACATGGGGTGAGGCACATCATGCTGCACAAAATAGGGATATATGGAGACGGATTGTTGTTGCCTGATGTCCCTCATTTAAGTCATTTAATATTACCTGGATAGCCGCAGGAGTCAGCGGTTCGTATATTACTTTCTCTTCATGGCCAAACACACCAATTGTTACCTGAAAAGAATGAAAATGAAATAAATCAAATCAGTAAAAGAGGTATAGGAGCCCAAAAGGTAGCCTGTGGAAGCCTTCTTAACAGTTCGTACGTCGCCTGTATCGATAGCTGATGATGCAGGTGGGGTAGGGGTCTTGGGGAGACTGAACAGGAGACATCTTCCCTAAGCTCCCTTCAACCTTGGCTGGAGTATTCGTCGCGTGTACTCTGTGGTAGCGATGGAATTTGTAGCGGCCATCTCAGCCTCTTCTTATTCATCAGAATACATCATCAGAACCGACTGATGAATAAAATAAACTGAACCTTCTATTATATGGCAATGAAGTCTCGAAATAAACCCGAGCGTTTTGATTGGTTCTTTCTTGGCCATAAGGAGAAACGGTCATAAGCCGTGTATTTTTTGCGAATTGTAACGTCGTCCTCTTACGTGGTGTGGCAATAACTTGCAACTCCACCAGGACTGATTTATTGCGTTGAAGTCAAACTTTTCACGTAATCGAAAGAAAGCTGTTTGTGTCACACTCTGGAAGTCTTAGTTTTGAGGTGGAAGAGATCACATGACACTCATTCTGCCAGGTTTCACCACGTGACTTATTTCAGTTCCTCCCGCAATAAGGGCACACAGTACTGTCGCACACAGTGACGTCAATTTCACCCTCTTAAACGCATTAATTATTCTTCCAGTTTAAACAAAGAAATCATGACCAGGACTGTTCTCGAATATCTGATCTTAATTGAGATTTTAACAATTTTATTTCTCCGGTTTCTCCTTAGTTTTAGTTTCGATTGAGAAGATACATCAAACACTCAAGACAGTGTTTGACCGCATTCCAAAAACCTCGAAGTTCGTCAAAAATACTCCGCTGCGCGTGGTATCTTTAACTCTCTTCTCCGTGTTTGAAAATGTGGTGAGAGTCACGGTCTTTCGTGTTTGATATATTACTTACCACTTTACCGCTGACCAGTATAGTCGTGATACCAGGCGCAAGACTGTCTACTAGTTTTTTAAGCACCCCAGCACCCCGTCGCACCGCTGACCATTTCTTATCATATGCAGCCCTTTGATAGAGCAAGTCCACCCTATCCTTGAGTGTGCCTTCACGTGTTTGGAAATCTTCCCCATCTCGCTTTATCAACTCCTGTAAAACCAACATCTGTCGGTCTATCGTTGGATTGTTCTCCAGCTCGGCCAGGAGAACTTCACGTGATTTAGTCACCAGGTCCCTGGAACTGTATAAAAATGTGCAGTCTGAGAGAAGACTGGTCTGGAAAATAGGGGACATTAAGACAACAGAGACCGTCTACAAGTTTCGAAAGTGCTCGTACTGTAAGATGTAATAAGCTGATCCTACAAAATACATAAATTATCAATCCTACGATGTACAAGAAACACAACAGTACTGTCAATGTTTTTGACTTTGCCTTCGGAGGCAACGTGGCCGAGTGGTTAGGGCGCCGGACTTGAAATCCGGAGGTTGCGGGTTCAAGTCCCGCTCTGACCACTAAGCTGGAGTTGCTTCTCGGTAGACCCTAGTTCAATTCCTTGGTCATGTTTGTAAATAGTCAACTGGTCTGCCTCCTACCAGTTGGGATTTTTAAGCCTATTACGTTTAGCTGAAATATTTGTTTCCTTCAGTCTAAGTGGCATGCCTGAGAACTAGGTTAGTGTAGCTAAGCGCATCGACCACCATAAACATTTAACATTTAACTTTTTTTCGGTACTTACTTGCCGTCTTCCTCGTCTATTGGAATCACCTCGTCCTCAGCCGTCAGTGTCATGCTGCGACTCAAGCGAATGTGGTGACTCATTCTATGTCCCTCGGACGAGCCGGGAGTCGGAGGACTGGAATCTACTCCTTCCTTTTCTTTAACACGTACCTGGTCCAGTCCTCCTTCAGCTTCATCAAGGTCACTAAAAATAGCAACGACATCATTGAAAAATCCGGATTACGGTTTTGATTTTACCTCATGTCCCACCACGGGGGACATGAGGTAGAAAAACTCACTCGTCCCGAGCACAACTGAACAAAAAAAAAAACATGTTTTTCAGATTTTACTGAACATTATTCCCATCGACGCGACGCGCTCGCACTTTTGGTTGAGTCTCACGTCACGTGCAAGTCCTATGTACAAGCCGTTGTTTCTTTACTCAGTAAACAATGTGTCACGTGATAAGTTATTTGATACATCTCTTCCAATCCAATGCCTCATGATCGATTGCAAGTTAAGAACAAACAAAAGGCACCTTGCATACGGCTGGCGCGACCGAAATATAAAATGACCAATCAGGATTAAGAAGGCGGGAAAAACTCTATTATCCCGACGTCAATGTATGTTAACTGGAAAGGCATTGCAGACTGGCAACTTTTGCCACTTGAGACGGCATTGAATATTCACGAATCGGCATTTATAATTCCCAAAACCATATTAGATTTTAGAAGGTATTATTTTGTGACTGCAAGTTTTTAATTTGGCGCCAAAAAAAAATGGGTCACCCGCATCTAGCATCGCCAGGTAGGCAAATAGTTGTGTTGTTTTGAACAAAATATCTTGTTCGTCGTCAAATTAATCCAAATTAAACCCAGAAATCTCGAATTAAGTATTACAAGAGGCCAAAGCAACTTTGGTATCGTCTTTATTTTCGTGTCGTTTTGGTAGGAGAGTTCGGTTTTGATTGCCGCTCGTATTGAGGGAGCAGTCGCCGAATGCAAGGAGTGTTAGAAGAGGAAATCCAAACGCTACCTGACATCGCGGTCGGCTTGAAGGAAGTCCAAATGATCAATCACAGCTGTCGATACCAACGTCTGTGTAAAAGAATCGTGACAGTCAAGTATTGTTCAAACAAATGAAATGGAAAAGCTTGAGGTCCAAATCAAAGGAAAAACTGCTATCGATAGAGATTTTAAATAAAGAGAAAGAAATAAGTGTAGTGTCTGAAGAAGTAGCACTTCAAGGCAGTGTCGGTCCAAACAAGTGTGGAATCATCCAGGCACCAGGATATACCTTTGGATATTGTATCTTGCTATCTGTTAGCAAGCTAAGGGTCATAAAGCAGCTCTCGCAAAGTCTCACATGCATGACTCGATACCCTTTAAGGGAACAATTGAACAAACAACAGAAACAATACCCCTCGCCCTTAAACAATAACAACAGGTCTTTTTCTCACTTACTCGAACATATGTTTGAACAAGAAGAACTGAGTACGTAGAGACGAGACATTTTCTTTTACGCACCTGAAGCCTTCCCAGTTTTATTTTAACTCCTCCACAGAATCCTCTTTTGAACGAGGCCAACAGTTCAAGAGTCTCCTGGAATTGCTTGCCCCTTGTAAGAAAACAAAAGACAACGGTACGATTAATGCGATGTACACCCAACCATCTCATTGCTTTAAGGCCGGATATGACGGTAGAGCTTTCGGTCAAAAGAGTTCCCCAAAATGTGAACAAACGGGGTCACATTTAGCGACACATTTAGCCTTTATTCTTTATCTTACTCGTCTTTTCGAGAGACAATCCAGCCAGTTGCATGTCAACGCTAAGGAAAAGAGTAGCTCAAGCCAGTCGAATCTCTACGGACACCAAAGGAGCCGAGCTAAAAGTCCGTATCATGAGGTGTTCATATTATTGAGGTCGAGATTAACTGCAGTTTGATTTCTACTGGACTAAGTGGACTGTCCGTTAAACTCATCAAGAATAGATGAGCTTGGTAGCAGGTGCCTTAAAGGTTGAAGGAGCCGGTGAGTAAGGGGGTATCCATGGCAATCCTGCGAGCGGCCATCACCAGACACACTGACACAGAGAACTAGTCAGTGGAATACTTACTGAGCCCGATACTTACCCAAGGGAGGGCAGAGAGGGAGCAGCTTAATAATTCGGTAGGCAAACATGGCCTTATCCGAGACCAGGAAACTAGCAAATCACGAGGTGGCCCTGTAGAAGGCTCAAAGGTCGCCCCTGAGCCGCTAGAGGGGCGACTTCTGACCGAAATTAGCTCGAGGTTACCCTTGCGTAAATAACATTTACCCCGGTGGGTTCGACTGTACTGCTCTGGAGACTATTCTTGATTACTACTCACCGTAAGTTCTTTTCTCTCAGTAAGAGACACAGGGTGGGTCGGCCCTTCATGTTCCAATTGTTTCGCACGAACGCCAAATTCGTCTAATGGACAGAAACAGAGAAAATTGCAAATGTGAATTGAAGGCATACATAATGGCAAAGGTAATAAGCAACACAATTTTCAATGCGTAAACTGAAGCCAGTACGTGTAACACTGGTACTGCCCATGGGGTGACAAAGAGAAAACAAAATTTCAACCATAAATCGCTAAGTGGAGCTTTTCAGCGGCTACAAATTACGTAAGCATGCGCAATGTGCGTTTTGGCAATTACCCCTAGGCCTGCAATTTTTACGGACTCATCTACAGGTCATGTTTTTCATCTAAATCTCCGAGGAGTGAAACTAAAGAAACGCAGTATTCGTATGTATTCTGACTGTGTCGTAAGTCTCATCTTTTTCTAACAATAAATTTTCGAAGTTTATCATTGGCTGGGATTTGTTTTCCTTTTTAGATTTAACGTTCGTCGTTGTGGTTTGATGCAGTTATACCTTGATTTCGTCGATAAGAAGAGACATATCCAGGGCCATGTAGAAATCAGTCTCGTCCAGAAGTTTAGGGTAAGTTGCAACCGTTCTGCCCAGAATACGGTAGATCTGCATAGAAAAAAGGAATGATGCTGGATAAACCCCATTTAGAGCGCATAATAATGACTATCAGAAGTTCTTGGAGTGCTCGAAGATTTACTAAAAACAGCACTGGGTCGAAACAAGAGAGTTGAGGAACTTTAACATTAAGAAACTTTTACCCTGAGAAGTTTAAAACGATTAATCAACCAGCTATTAACGATAAATGATCATTAACAGAAAGCATTAATTATAATAGCAAAGTTAAAGCTTCCAACGATAAATTGCTATTTTGCAATAACTGCAGAGATTTTCGCACGTCGATTGGCCAAATTCCATGATCAATTTAATAAATAGGTTCCATGTTGCCGTGCGTCTGTTCAGTAATTGATCAAAGATGACGTCAAAATGTAAGAGCATCATTGGCACACCCTGCTATCGTCTCGTGTGCCACTTTCTCAGTTCTATTTGTTTTACATAATAAAAGAAACAAAAAAAGAATGTTAGTGACATCATCTATGTGTCTTTCCTCCAAAAGATCATAAGAACCACTCAAAATGCGACAACAATTTGACTTACATAGAACGGTTTTGAATTGAGTGTCATAAAACCAAAACCAAACCAACTACTTACCAATTCGACTACTCAGCCAACCTCAAACCGTACTAAAACCAAACCCAAAGTTATTCCCTGATTACTTTCGACACTCAATTGAAAACCGCTCTAAACGAAGACAGACATAAATGACGCCATCGCGCGCGGAGCTTGAAAATTTCGCTAATTAACAAATTGACGTCAGTTTTTTATGCGTCTGTCCTCTTACTGATGATAAATTGCGCCATAACATTGTCAAAGTGGCTGTGGAACCACGAGCCGCAGGCGAGTGGTTCCGCAGTAAACTTTGACAATGTTATGACGAAGTAAACTTGCCGTAAACAAAGGTAAGTGAATTTTGTGTAAAATGATGCGAACGTTGTCAATAGATTTTCTCGCTTTTTGGTTGGCTACTTAAAAAAGTTCATAAAATCTTATTGGTTAAAAAGTTGACAGTTTAAGAGCTGAAAGTTGAACTTGAAAGCTTGCATAAATTAAAATTTCATCCGTCTGTACTCTTATTGATGATAAAAAAGAGCCAATCAGCGTGCGACAAATTAGACAGTTATTGTAAAAACTATTTTAGTTTACGGTTTAGCAGTTAGTCCTCGATGAGAGGCAAGTGGTATCTGAACTAAAATACGTGATCAATGACAGGCCAGAAACTGACGTCAGTTTGCTAAATTTACCTTACTAGTTCCCAGAGTTCCTATTGGCCTTGGTGGACGACCAGACAGACCGAGTTTACGATTGACACCGAGCCGCTTGTAAGCCTACGGAGTAACAAAGCAGTTTAAACATTGATTTAACACGATACTATACGCCAGCCATTTCCACCGGCTTTTCGATTGACTTACGCGATAAGTCTAACGTGTCCAAAATACCCAAAAAAATCCGTTTTCGAATACGAATTCTCTCTCAGAGCTTGGAAGTGAAAGGGTTGAGAGAAGCGGAGTAGAGTGGAGTGGGGTGGAGGAGTTAGTATTTTCGTGGTAGTGAGCTCGGTCCACCTTCGACAACAACACCCGAGAGGGTATCCCCTATAATGGCCTATACTGGGGCGCTACACCCGAAATGGACACGTTTTTCAGGCTTCAGGTGTAAAAGGGTGGGGATTTCACAAGTTGAGGTAAATGAAAGGGTAGGGAAATCGGTCGTCTTGATTCCAACGTGAGCTGAGTGAATAATACTTGCTTTTTTCGGTTAGCATCCCTTCTGATGGTCTCCCGTAATATGGTGCTTTTATTCCAAGGGTTTAGAAAAGGGAAACAGTGTTCTTAAATACGTGTGCGAAAGGGGTACCTTTTCAGTAAAAGGCGTACGAAAGGGGAACGTTTTCTGTCAAAATGGTACACAAAAGGGTAGGGGGTTGGACCTCGGGGCGGAGCCTCCCCGTATGAAACTTTGTAGAGTACCCCAACTCCCCCACCCGGGCACAACAGTCCGGTCTGTTCAAGTCAACTGCCATAAATGAATTATTGTCGATCTTGCAAGATTATCACAAGTTTATCAGTTTTATGACTGTCACGTGTTACCCTCCTTAAAGTCCTACCTACCTTCACTAGTTCTGACGGTGGCCAGATCTGTATGGGTTCGATCTGTTGTGGAGTTTGCGTCTCAATACCAAATGTCGCCAATGTAGTCTGTAGGCTGGAAAAGAAAAATATGAATATTATACAAAATAAGAAGCTCCAAAACTTGTGCGACTTACTCTGCACAAGACAACAGCAAACTCAGTCAAAGTCTGGTTAATGTGGCTTTTCAGGCGATTTTAACGAGCTACATTTTTTTTTTTTTAATTTTACGGTAGCGACTAGCTCTGGGAGCGTTCCTCTGAGGTGATCTGGATCAGGATCAGTGATCCAAGATCTGCCTGGATCATGGTGCATCAAAAGAACCGATGAATCCATGACCAGAGTGGATTCATCGGTTCCTTTGATGCACCATGATCAAGACAGATCTTGGATCACTGATCCTGATCGAGATCACCTCAGAGGAACGCACCCTTTGTGATAACTGCGACGACCCTACTGTAAACCACTCAGTGATGAAGGCTTCGTCATCGACGATTTTTGTTCTCACTTTTTCTGTCGTTTAGGTTTTACAAAAAGCATTTTCAAAACCACCACATTTACTCATGATCAAGAACCTTCATAACTGAAAGCAACAAAGCACGTTCAAAGTTCTTACTTTCTGCTTTCCGTGATCAAAGAAACTTGGACCACTAGGTCAGAGTCCACAACCTTAAACAAAACAAACACAAGAGTTAAGCACAAGAATGAACACCTACATACATGTAAGTCGAATTCACTCTTTCTGTTAAATTAAATTTACAATAATTTTTAGAGAGGAAGCCACATATGCCTAAGCTGATTTTCATGAGTCTTCTATCCTGGCCGAATTGGAATTTGCCTGATGCTAGTTTTTGTGGAGGGAGGAAAACTGGAAAACCAGGAGAAAACCCTCGGAGCAAGGCGAGAACCAACAACAAACTCAGTCAACCCACGTTTATCACCAGGCCGGAATCGAATCCGGGTCATATTGGAGGGAGGTGAACGATCTCACAACTGTGACATCCCTACTCCCCTAATTTTCTTGCACAGGGCTAAACTATTGTTTATCTCAGATTTTTTCAATACTGCGCTCTTTCTTATGACCATTTTGGTCTCATTTTCCTACCTCTGTCAGTTTATTAGGGACCTTCAGATTCGCGTGCACCTGGTACTTAAGCTTTCGAATATCGCGTTTCACACCAATCTTTCACCGATAGGCTCCTTTTCAATTGCCCAAAAACTTAGAAGGGAGAGGAATCTGGATTGAAATCGAAAGCCTACTCTTACTCCATCTCGTACTGCAAACGCTATCTAAAGGTCCCTACCAGCTCGAAATGACAACGACAGGCAGCAGTTTACGAGGTGCCCCAAAACGACAGTGCACGAGCCGCCTGGTTAGCTCAGTTGGTAGAGCGCCAGATTGCTGTGCGGGAGGTCGAGGGTTCGAGCCCCAGACCGAACCAACACTCAGGATCTTCAAATAACTGAGGAGAATGTGCTACCTTTGTAATTACACCTGCAAATGGTTACACGTTCAAGCCTTCTATGATAAGGGCTATAAACAGTAGGCCCCATCACCTGCATCTTAAGTGTTGCTTGGTTAGTAGGGGACGTTAAAGAACCCACAAACTGATCGAAAAGAGTAAGGCACGTAGTTCCCGGTGTTGTGGTCTGGCCTTGTCTCAAGGGTTGGTGCTTCACATAGGGTTAACCTCATTGCACCTTTCCCCCTTGGACAGAATTGTTCAAGAAAATTGCTATGATTGTGACTATGAGTTTCTTCCTAGACTAATGACTGAAACAAACTCGATCAAAGCACTGGAAGATGCTTGTACCCTAAATGACGAGTATCTGTAGCTACTATGACCAAAGCGATTTTTGGCCGAGTGGGACAGATGCCTTCCGATGGGGTCGATTTCATTCACGTCTAAAAGACCGTCATCTGAGGAGAAACAAACAAAAATTGGGTCAAGCAATCCGAAACACCGTAATTGAATACGTCTTTTCTACAGAGGGATTTTTAGAGAACGTTATTGTTTTAATATCATGGGTGACAAATTACTCCTTAAACTTGGTGCGAAATTTCAGATTTAATTTAAGAAATTACTTGATTGCCATGGCTACGTTTAGCGCGAAATTTACCTATAGATTAAACTACTCAAAAACCCGCGGTTGTAAGCGTAATTTGTCACATATGATATTAAAAGATAATCAAATGGTAAACTCTTGAAAGTAAGAAATATATTACTTGCATTTTGTCAAAATTCTAATAATTTCCCTCACCTAAATGCTACAGAAATTTTAAGAATTTTGAGAAAACGCGAGCAAGATTATTTCCTAATTTCACACGTATACTCATGTTTCAAAACTAGTTTTCTGCTACAATCTTTGGGTGTGTTCCTTTAGGATGACCCGGATCAGAATATATGAACCAAGATCACTCGGATCATGGTGCATCAAAGGGCACGACGAACCCGTGACCAGACTGGATTCATCGCTTCCTTTGATGCACCATGACCAGAGTGCCTTTAAGCCATTAAGCACGGGCTTAACAAGAATTTCTGTACATATTTTTTAGAAGCCAAAAGACCACATTTTCTTTTTCTTACTATTCCATAGCGAATCACCGCTATGTCAACGTTTTATTTTGAGAAACAAAATAATGACTTGCAATCTTATCCTTGAAAAAATGCTGAAAGGTTACTAACAAAGCAGAACTTTGAAATAGTTATGCGCACGAAAATTTGGTTGACTGTTGTTGTTGTTGTTGTTGTTTTTTGTTTTGGACGTTGCCAAAATTTGACATACGACTTGCGCTGTACAATTTGGGCTCAAATAGATAAAATGGCTGGCTACGCCCCTGATCTTCTAGGCTCATTGATCCTGATGCGAATCCGTGTCATCCCAAAGGAACACATGCTTCTGAGGAATAACAAAATATGGAGATTTAACACAAATTCAAAGTGAATACCAAAATGGCCTGCTGTGACGCATCCGTGTTCGTTCCTGTACACGGGTGGACGAACTTTTCGAAAACGCTGACATCCAGAAGTAACACGTGACCGAAGACATATCTAGCTGTCTATCTAGCCCAGGTTATCTGCGCATGCTTAGTCAAAACTATCAGCGTTTTAGAATCGCGATTTTGTTTTCGTATGGACAGCAAATATCATTTGAACATGCTAGGTGTGGACGCAAAACGTTTGAAAGCTGAGAAAACATGTTCCGTTCTCAGACGAAAACGGACAAGAGTCAATGGGGCCTGTATGCTTTACTTTAGTCACAAATTTTAGCAGCAACTATGTCAGCCTTCGCACGCTCAACTCTCCCCTCTCTTGAGAAAATTAGATCAACACAGATCTCTGTATTGTGTCCCTAAATCTTTCTTGTCTGGTTTTGTAACTTTTGCAAGTCACAACTAATCAGGAGTCTGCAATTCTGTTTTTGTGTCAAGTCTCTGACCTGTGTTGAGCGGGGAAGACTTGACCGGGCGAAGAGACACGTTTGATCGATAGAGCGGTTTTCACTAGCGTGTCAAAAGTAATTCGTATTTGCTTTGGTTTTCCTTTCCTGTGCTTTGTGATTGGTTTACAAATATCATGTCACTTTCTCGTCCAGTTAGAAGTAAAACCAAAACCAATCGTGACTCGCTCGCGCATGTTTTCCCGCGCTTTGTGTCAGCTACAAGCATTTGTTTGACTTTTGATCGGTTTACTGGACTGTCCGTGTAATTTGTGATTGGCCAGAGTGATTACTTTGATTATGATTTTACTACAATCAATTGAAAACCGCTCTAAGCCAAGGTACAATTGTGGTAACTGTTATACGGTAATTTGAGTTGTAAGTATTACATAACAGATTCATTATGATCAAGAGTGACTGTCCCCAGAGGAAAAGCCCGCCATCCTCGTCACTTGGCAATCGAACTTGAGAATGTGGCTTTTTCCTTTCTTTTTCCAGGTATATTTTTGGCACGTAGTAGTAATGCGGTATCAAGTCACCTAAAGTGAGAAAATGAGAAGAAAAAGTTTCAATCTGCATGACTCTAATAGGCTTTTAACAATAACTGTCTAATTTCTCGCACGCTGATTGGCTCATTTTTATCATCAATAAGAGTACACACGGATAAAATTTTAATTTATGCAAGCTTTCAAGGTCAACTTTCAGCTGTCATCTTTTTAGCCACTTTGACAATGTTATGACGCAATTTATCATCATTAAGAGGACAGACGCACAAAAAACTGACGTCAATTTGTTAATTCAAACTACCATCAAACGTACCCGCTGCATAATGAGTAGGTTAACTGACTGAACACTGTAAGAATGAACACAGTTTACATCTTACCAGTGTCGTTGTTCAAAAGCAGACCGTCTTCTTGCAGTTTGTTGATGTACTTTTCCGCAGTTTCTTTATCATTCTTGAACAGAGCTGCAACGAAAATTTATGGAAAGCAATTTTTAAAACAATAAGCCAATGTTTTTAGCAACTCAGTAAGTTTACTTGCTATATTTTTACACAACACCGGGAGCTAATCTTTATTCCCATTCTTGAAGCAGCCTTGACTTTTCGGTAGTGTAACAGCTCTCCTAAACTTGTAATTCTATTTGTCGTCATTGCAGCAGCTGTTATTGTTTTAGGGCTAGGGGGCATTGTTTCTGTTGTTTGTTCTATTGTCCTCTCAAAGGGTTCCAAGCCATTCATGTGAGACCTTACAAGAGCTGCAACATGACCCTGACTTTTTTGCGCACGTACTAGTTAGTCATGTACACTAGAACTGGAAATTTAAGCTACTGCCGGTGCAAGATGCTAACCTACTGCATGTAAATACAAAACTGAGCTTTTATATCTGTGAACTTGTGCACGAATCGATTTCGTTGAGTACCACAGTTTGCCTGACGGCTACATGTACAGGCCGTGTACCTATGATTAACTTTAATGAAAAACATTACCATCTAGTGCAAGATAGATGAAGAAGATCGGCCATTCGTTTTCTATTCCATCAAATATCTGTGAAATGTTCAGATAGAGCAAAATATCAGTTTGAAAACAATGGTTTCACTAGACACTATATATAAAGTAGGGAAGTCCTAAATCAACAATTGCAATTATTTTGGGTATTTAAGCGGTCACTACACTCTTTACTCTTTGAGGTATACTGCAATCCGCAATTTTCATTGGTGAACTCCTAAACGTTGTCCACTTCTCTGATGCCATACGATCTTGCGCGTAGCCTTAAAAGGAAAAAAAAAACCACTCGTCGGGGTATATTGCAGATCCGCAAATCTGATTGGTTCCTAAACGTTGTCTATTCTCCAATGCAATACAATCGTAAACGTAGCCTTAAAAGGTAAAAGAAAAAACACTCGTCGGGGGGTATATTGCAGATCTGCGAATCGGATTGGTTCCTCAACGATGTCTATTCGCTGATGCAATACGATCGATCGCGTAGCGTTAATTACCTGCTTTTCACTTAAAATACCTAATATAATTGTAATATTTACGATTTTGTACAGCTCTCCTCCACGGTGTTTACTAAAACAGTTAGACTACTCGTCCTTGTACTTTATCAGTGAACTCTAGCTCGAGTTGGCACTGTTGGTGTCCTAACATCATGTTGTTTCATAACGATGACGATGACGATCACGATGACGGTGACGATGACGATAACGATGACGATGGCGATGACGATGACGATAACGATGACGATGACGATGACGATAACGATGACGATGACGATAACGATGACGATGACGATGACAATAACGATGACGGTGATGATGAGTAAAGTCGGCTGTGCCTCGTTGACTATTCGTCTAGAGAAAACTACGCAGTAGTCTCACTGTTCATCCAAAGAACCACGAGTTAAAAGGTTTCTACGAACAGGCAGCGAGGCGCAGCCGAGGTGACTATCGCTCATGCAGAATGAGATAAAGTACAATGTAATTGAGCCTTTGCTTCCTCTACGAAACCAGCATTATAATGTATATAATTGCTCTAACACAAATGATCGGAAATTTCGCTTTCCTTGTTGATTATTTGGGCTGCTCTTAACATTCAGAAGTATTTGAAGCAGTGAAATTCAATTAACAGGATTACCTGTAGTTCTCTCTTTTCATAATATCTGCGATTTTTGTCTTCCAGAACAGTCCTGTAACCATCACGTAAAAAGCGCTTTAGTCCGTAGAATCCCTGTAAGATCAAGCAAATTGAAGGCAATTTACATTATCGACACCAGCAACAGTAAATGAGTTTCGTTAAGAGACTGTGACCGTTCATCCTATCCTAGTAGTGACTATTAAACAATTAGGTTATTCGCTCTCGATTTCTATCGCGTGATAGTTGACTCGGGCTGCGCCCTCGTCAACTATCACGTATAGAAATAGAGAGCGAATAATCTAATTGGTTTAGTATAAATCTACTAGTCGTTCAAACCTTTATCTAAATCCTCTTTACAGACACTTCAAAAACGCCAAGAAGCGACCGTCATTAAATTTTTTGTTAACAAGAACACACAGTTATGCTACTCACTAACTATCACAGAATAGATAGTGAGTAGCGTAGCCAATCAGAGAACGGCATTCGTGATAGAACGCTAGTAGATTTATACTAACGACTATTACATCTCACCTCCCCCCTCCTCCCCACCTCCAAAAAAGAATAATAATGAATTCACCCAAAAGGTCCGAAGCGTTGTGTAAAACTACTTTTCAGATGATGCAATTAATTAGTCCCTGAATTAGTTTTTCCCACCGGAGTTTGGAGATCTGATTAGCTCAGACATTTGGCACGTCCCTCTGAAACGATTTTAGTATTTCTCAAGTTTCAGTCCCTTTTGAAAGGACGGTGTAAGAGTGTGGAGATAATGGCCGGGGGGAGAAGGGGCACTATAGGAGGAGGGGAACGAAAGGACCGTGTGCTGGGGAGAGTCACAATCTATTTAGAGGGTCGGAATGGGGCAAATTTGAACTGTCATCTGAGAATTGCCAGCCGTCAACTGTTAGTTTTTGAACTGATACAGTGTAGTGGATATCAGTTTGAGATCTGCCAAATTATTTGATAGCTGAGAAATGGGTTGAAATTTTAAGCAACTGCGAAATATTTAACTGATAACTAATATTACAGCACTCCCATCCAGGCCTAATCATTTTAGCACTGTTTTTTAAAAGAACACAAGTTTTGAAACTGCATGTTTATGAAAAAAAAAATCCTAGCTGTGTTTATTTTTAACTCTGATGAACAAAATAGAGGCCCGTCATTATACATACGACCACGAGTTGTCAAAAAACCTCTTTCCTGGTACCGTATTTATTGGACTTCTTCAATGTACAGGAGAAAACAGAAAAGCCATATAACTAATAATGAATTCCAATTTTATTATAACCACATTTTAGGACTATGAAGTACGGGAAGCATTCTTTGAAATGCTTGGGTCCTGTGTTGTTGTCTAAACTGACAAAGGATGAACGTGGTATGAGCAGTCTTAACGAGTAGTCTTAGCGTAGTATGAGCAGTCTTTAAGCGGCAAATAAGGAAAAAATCCACGTGCAGGAACTGTTACTTGTGCACGAGCTAACTAGTGAACATACAAGCATGTCAAGGAAATTGAGTATGTTCTAGTTTTGGGATGAGCTTTTATCGACTAGCAACTTTGAGTAATTTATATATAATTTGTGATTTGCAATAATTGTATATATATTTCTTAGTTCTTACTTAGTGTCACCAATAAGTGTGAGAAACGCCAGAACGATTGACACTGATATAAAGTCTCCTTCTACTACAACTTCTTTCCTAATTCCTACCTCCAATTTTTCCACAACCATAGCTTTTGCTTGCTGACACAAAGATTCATCTCCTACAGCAAAGGCTGGAAATCCCGTGATTGTCAACAGCGACGCATCTGTCACCTGTTAAAAAATGGCAATGAAACCACCAAAGCAACTTAATACTAACGATAATTTTCGACTTAATATTTTATTTCTAAGATTGTTCTGTTTAAGGTTTACCTTAGTTTACAGCCCGGATTATTTATAACCCCTCTGTTTAAAAGCCCATCCAAAACCACTTACGCCCGGGATTAAACGCAAGTATTGTTAAATTAGTACTTCATATTTGGCAGTGTTATTTCACATTTTCATATTACTTCATATTTGACAGAATTGTGTGCTTTGGTGACTTTTTACCAATGAGGACACTTTGTGATGCTTATCTTAAGGAATTTGAATCTCATTAGCATTCAATCCTGGATATATCTGTCCAAAACCCCCTTACGAAGTTGTCTAAGCCCAAGGCTGAAGTAGTTTATGGTACACCATAACTTGAAAGGTTAACAGCTTCAGCGAGTCAGTTTAAGAGGTTGAACACATGAGAAAATCATCAGACCTTAGACGAAGATGCCACTGGCAACATAGAATGCATGATAGTGTAGTTCCTGTTGTGAGCATCAGGATCAACATAGATAACAGAAGATGAGGTTCCCTGCGGGATGAACAAAACAAGTTACAAATAAACAAACTTAAGGTAGCAACTAAATTGTACTCCTGTCTTGATTTTGCAAACACAAGCCCATGATTCTAACAAATACAAGTTATGAAACCACAAATTTATAGTATGAGTTTTACTGGATGGTGATAGCGTGGTTTTCCATAGAGCGTCCAAAGTAATCGCATAATTACTTTGGTTTTGGTTTTGGTTTTGGTTTCACTACAGATTGAGATTGGCTGAGTAGTCTAATTGGTAAGTAATTGGTTTGGTTTTGGGTTTACGACACTCAATTGAAAACCAGCCTAACCAAATTTACATACTGAACAGTGTACATGTATAGCAGAAAAAGGTTAGGGATTCCTGGCCTAGTACATGTAGGCCATTGATTAGAAGAATTTATTAAGAAATATGAAATATTGGCAATCAGAAATTAAATTAAAAGTAATACCAATTGATATTGTTACTTGTTTCGTCAAAATAAAATATTGGAGGGAAAAAACAAATCATGTTTGACACTTGACCCAGGCAGTGAGGGCCATATATAAAGTAGGCTTACTTATCATTGAAGACGAAAAAATTGAAATTACTGACCTGCATTCCATAAACATTAAATCCATTTATAGCCTCAAGAGCAGCCTTAGCCATACCGATAGAACTGGTAAAACAAACAATATTAAACAGGCAGTGACAACTAGTTAATATACTTGTATTGCAATAAATTTTCAATATGAAAAAATATCATTGTAACATATTACTGTTAAGTATTTCTTAATCATAATATCACTTACATGTAGCCATACATGAAGTTACTTACAAAATAGAAAACATTTTCCATGTTTTATAGAAAGATGAGTGAAAGTTTGGGAGACAGAGGAATGCTGTGGGAACACTAGCCCCATGTGAGAGTTTATACAGCTTGCTTAAGTTCCCCCAACTTTCAAGAGGTTCAATAACGCAAGAGAAATATGGAGAAAAAGTTATTCATTTCTTTAATCTACTAAACCGTTGAGGGAAAAACAATGTAAAATTACACAAGACAGGTATTGTGATTACCAGAAGGTAAATTCTCTTTGTTGGCATCATTTTGTTTCAAAAACTTGTGGCAGTAAAGGACGGGACACACTAGGCGACAAGCCACTGCGACACGTCATGGGGACAAGTCCCCACAACAATTCACCTCGTGTGACACGGTTAATTTTCGTGAAAATCATTGTTGCTGCAGCAGATTTTGACGCTGCAATCAGTTGCACGAATTCAAACCAGTTTGAATTTGTGTGACTGATCACAGCAACAAAATTAGTGAAAGCAGCATTGTCACACCATGTGTACACTTCCAGCAACAAGTCGCTGTGACAAAATATAAATGAACCAATGAGAGAGCGTCATATATTGTACTCCCTGGTCTGCCATATTGAATCAGAAAACTATTTCACATTACCCCTTATATGAAACCACTGTGTGTACACCGAACCAGCGTCATGTCGCAGCGACTTTTTTTGCAAGCAGTACACACGGAGAGACTTGTCGCAGAGACCTGTCACAGCAACTTGTCACCTAGTGTGTCTTGGCCTTAATAACTGTAGTTTGTGTTCCTTTTGAGTGATAGAAGTACTAGCAGCGTTTAGCATGCGCTACAAGGTCAGAGCTGTCGTTAAGTTTTGACTCAACTGAAGCCTTGATCTTCACACCTGCAACCAACTTGTTACCTTTTGAGTAAACTGTATCAACTATAGTCCAGTTCACCTGTAACAACAAGGGACCATCACACATACTCAGCTGTAGCAGATGTTATGGGTTACCGCCCTCATTGACAGCCCTGAAGGGTGCCTTCTGAAATTTAACAACTACAATGTACTAATAACAGCCATTGACGACTTTTGGCTGGAATATAAAGTAGATGAACAGATTTTTCTTTACGGTGCCAATTGAGATGAAAATGTCAATTTTGGGGGTCATCTGGTACCTCATGCATTGCCAATTACTCACTGAACTCTGAAGGCTCCCTCATAACTGTACATTACAGATGTACGTGTACCCTGGAACCCACCTTGCATTCAATTCTTTGTGCCCTACATTTTCCTTACTTCCTCTTTCCCACATGCTGTAATCAGGAGTTCTATAAGCACGTTCAATGTAGTACACCAAATTCTGAACAAAGTTAACCTCATCACTGGTATAAATAATCTGTCAAAAAAGCCATGAAACATTAATTTGAATTCTACATACATGCACATGTATACAGGTAACTGTATCTACAAGAAGCATTAATGTACATGGGAAAAACAGACAGCGTAGTGAAATAAGCATTAATGTGCATGGGAAAAACAGACAGCATAGTGAAATAATAACTAAAAAATAAAGTACTGTAATTTTTAGAACAGGATGTGACAATGGAATTCAGAAATAAAATTGAAGGGTGAATTTGAAGACACCCACAAAAACAAAATAAAAACTTCTAAGAATGACATTTGTTTAAGATAAATTATTCATACTCAAGTTATTACTAGTCAGTACCTGTAGTCCTGATGCAGTCATTTGCACAAGGGTCAGAAGATAAAGTGATACAGCATCAATCTAAAATAGACAAAACATTATCTCTGTCAAATTATTAGTCAAATACAAAATTGTATGAAGTGTAAGATGTATTTAACCTGAAGATGAGCCCATTCTAAGTCTGAAGATATTGCATCTCCTGTGTTGACATTAAACTTGACATGAAGGGAATTGTGCGCTGACTGGTTCTTCTTGAATTGTTCTACCTATGGAAAAAAAACTTGAATCAGTAAAATGAATGAGTAGTGACTGTCATAGTGGACCGTGAAGGATTGAGTAGTCTTTCAGGATGACACCAGAAACCCACACTATGTGAATACAATATACTGCCATGGATAAAGTTATTAACTTTTAATTAGTGGATAATGTAATTGGGTCTGCCAAGACAGATTAGCTGCATAATGACTTTTATCTAGTGAATAGTTATCCAAAATATGAAGAACTATGCCCATGTTCTGAGCCGCTATTTCTTGCCATCTTGTCTAAGAAACACAAAGGCACTACATGTAGACTTACTGTCACAGGGCTGCCTGTAATTGATCTTTTAATAACCACTATATTCATTTGCAAGATACAAATTAGATACAAACAAACTCAATTACTGGACAAACAGACAGACAGACAAACAGACAGGCAGACAGACAGATAGACTGACAGACAAGCTGACTAACTGACTGACTGACCCACTGACTGACTCAATGACTGACTGACAGACTGACAGACTGACTGACTGACTGCCTGACTGACTGCCTGCCTGACTGACTGACTGACTGACTGACTGACTAACTGACTGACTGAAGACTGACTGAAAGACTGACTGACTGATTGACTGATTGATTGATTGATTTAGATTGATTGATTGATTGATTGATTGATTTTTAACATTTTATGATTATCATAACATCACTTACATCACTTTCACTACAAAACGTAAGGTTAAAAAAATTACATTACAAGAGGTAAGATTACAACTAACACTTAATACATAATATATCCAGTCTTGCTTTGAGGCTTACCGCATATTAAACAAGAAGATCTGTTAGATCTTACAACCGCGCTTTTAAAATTTAACTGTTTTCTTAGCACTACAGTCGCAATGCAGTGTACATTCCAAAAGCAATCCTTGATGATTCATTGATTACTGTAGACACCACATTACTTGATCAACACAAACTCTATTATTGCACCATCAGTCGT